GAGTAAAACATATCTCAATGGGTGTTTACATTTGAAAACAACGTTTCAAGCTACCATAAAACCAATGTGTCTTGAAAATCAATCTTCATCCATCTTGTGGGAGATTAGTGAAATGTTCAGTGTATTTGTCTCGTTGGTTTTCGAACCCTAGATGGATAATATACTTAGAAGTTAGGTGTGTACAACTGTAACTTATTAATGCACTGGATGTAGCTTATATCTAGCTATATCTATAATATTACAAAATATCTGAAATATTTTGATGTATTCTCACTAAATTAGACGACCTCGGTGGTCTAGCGGTTTTACTTCCGATGGTCGCGGGTTCGATTCCAAACATTTGTATTTATGAGATATACAAACTATCATCAGTTTGTATCGGTCTGGGTGTTTTCTATGTATGTACTTACAAAAAATATTTATATCAGTTGTCTAGTACTCACAACACAAGTTCTGCTTACCATGGGACTAGATGACGTTGAGTTAATTGTCTAGAGTTATATATTATTATTATTTATAAAAAGTTTCTGTCTAAGTTTGTTTATAATGTGCGTCTTTACAAGTAAAGAAATAAGACGTTAAAAGAAATACAGCGCTGCTCGGAGGCACCTAGTCAACTTATGTACATACACAGAGAGCCACCCCTGGCTCAGTTAAATAGGGGTCACATAGACAAGCCAAGCCGACATGTAGATATATACCTGTGATCAGTGAAATATACTTGGGAGAGAATTAATTCACTGTGACAGGTACCTACATACATGTGAGATAAGTTAACATTATTCTTAACCGACTTAAAAAACGTATAATGTTCGATCTCTGTATATATTTTGTTTATTATCATCGTCAAGTGTGGACCCATTAAAAATTATTTTTTTACTTTTATTATATTTGTTTATATCGAAGTAGTTTAGTAACAGTCATTTTAATTCTCAGATAAAAGATCAACTACACTTAGATTAGGTTTCCTCTGTTGTTTTCTATAGAATTTTATTTAAATTGGCTTTAGCCTTCGCAATGTGAAATTTGGTTTATCAATAAATTACATTATGGGCTATTTATGACCATAGATATGTATATAATTGGAAGTCAGCGCATGACAACATCGTGATAGTATATTTATTGAAATTAAATGTTTCGCAAATGACTCAACACCATTATATTATCAAGTGACCCTAGTGTCGCGGTGGGTCCCGGAGGAATCAAAATAACTGTAGAATTGTGTCAAATGTGCTATAGGGCCGACACGCGCCCAAGATAAGCTTGTTTACGTGTTGTCGACGATTTATCAGGCGCCGTTAGGGATGTCTCGCTCATTATCAACAGCCCAACAATAACAACAAATTAAGGTTAGGTCAATTTACTAATGCAGTAATGATTTTCAAATAATAATAAATTTCTATAAATACAAATATAAATAAATATTACTAAGAAATTGCCATGATCCAAATACTGTCTAATTAGGTTCAAAACCTCAATGAATATATAAGTATTTATTTTATGTAATAAGCGCGATAAACAACCTGACGACCTGCTAAATCGTAAGTGGTAACTGTGGGTATATAAAGTATTTAGTAAGTATATACTTAAACAGCACTATGGATATCACATTATGTGATTTCCGTGATACCACTCATGCATTACCACTCCGGAAAACATGTATCTAATCCTGTAATTTCACTGATTTATCTTACTCCTCAACCGAATCACAGTGTACAAAGCAAGCTACTTGTATATAGTAGTGAGAGGTACCCTTATATAAAGTCTAGTTTGATTGATTTTCAGGTTTATAAACAAGTTTTAACTGTAATATGGCACCGGCCGTCGTTAGTCGGAATAATTGCCCAATTCCTAACAATAAAATTATCTTTCGATGAATAAGTATTAAGTAATGGTCACATTTCTGCATGCATTGTAGTTATTCTGCATAATATTTTATTTATATTTTGACTATGTAGATGACACTTAAAATATCAATATAGATCACAATATTTTCATAAACAGCACATCTCCTACAGCCTTTGTATGAATTATTGCTCTTTGACAAGACACGAAAATACTTTGAAGTCATTTAATTTTTGTATTTTATTTTCATTAAGTAATAGTTCTTATGAATTACGTTACGTATTAGTTTTCATTGTACGAAAATAATAAGTATATACATATTGTCAAAGGGTGTCCCATTCAAAAGGCGATCAAAATTTTCACTACCTTAGCCGAGGCTCGAATTTCTAGCGTCTCATCCATCGGATAGGAGTTGGCCTTTAGCTGTTCTGTAAATTCTGCCTTCCTTCATTTATCCGACATCATCTTAGTAGAAGCGTAGAAATTAGTTATGTAGAAAATCTGGAATTGAAATATTAAGCATAGACATTTTAGTATGGATATCATAGATGGGTACATGATTTTATGGTATAGCTATATTATGGGTTAAATAATTGGAATGAACTCATGTTAGTTATCCCAAAAGTGGAGAATATAATGAGCCTCATTTGGAATACCAATCAGAGATCGTATCATTTGAAAAGAATTCTGATGATCCTAGGAGCCGCGTCTGTTAGTCAATCACGCCCGTAGAATCCATTAGAATGTGGTTAACTGTTCTTTCAGATTCTTATTATAGACGATTACATTATATTACTGGTTGTGGCAAAGTTCGACAATAAATTCATTAAATTTTTAGGATTATTAGGTACATATTGTTAAAAACTAAATGTACATATTTTGTTTGTTTCAAATGCTTAAAAATTTTTTAATCAAAGTTTAACATACCTATGTATATCAATTCTCTACGCTTTTCCATATATATCTTTAATTGCGCTAAATTTCTTGTTCTAACTCCTGCGTCTGCAAATTTCTTGTAAAAAGGGGTACAAAATTTTTGCGTCACGTATTAATATACAGATTACAATTAAATTTTTAGTTAAATGTCATATTTACGCGCTTCTACCCACGACGACGCCCTGTGACACCTATGGCGTGGGTGATTCCCGTGGGAAGCTAGTTCAGAATCTGATATCTATCATGTATTTAGAAATAAATTACAATAATGATTTTTAAATGTAACCAGTCATCAATTTCATATAGATCAATATTTCCAAATTATATGTTTACACTATAATTACCAGACAAATAATAATATTGTTATTTATACACAGTCTGTGACCCCTCTATTTATAGTTTTGATTTGAGTGACGACTTCCGGGGGCCCTATCTCTCGGCGGCACGGACTCTGTTGCTACGTGCACTAAGATCGTAGGTACTGATGCCCTCCCACATAACATTGACTAGTTGTTTATCGTGGCGATGTCCGCGCGGAACCCGTTATCTCCTGCTTTTACGAGCATTTAAAATTCAATAATAATAAAAAAATCTTTATTAGGGTATGTCTAAGTATATTAAAATACATATTTTTAATTTCGGTTGGTAATGCAATTTTTTTACATAAGTTCTTTATATGTTTGGTACACATAATTTGCTGGCCTACCGGTTTAGCACACCGCCTTACTTCCGGTGGTCGCAAGTTCGATTCCACGCACGGCACAAACATTTGTATTCATGAGTATGATTGTTTGTATCGGTCAGAGTGATTTCTATATATAATATGTATGTAATTATGAAAAAAATTCTATGTATTTGTATCAGTTATCGAGTATCCATAACACAAGCTTTAGCTAGGTTAACTGCGGTCTAGATGGCGCTATGTGAATTATCTTAAGATTATTATTATTATTATTATTATTACACATAATTGAACTTTTATAACTTCTGCTTTAACTTTAATGTATCAGTCACAGGTTTTTATGCGGATATTCTCATTCTATATTCTATCATGCTGTGGAACTAAGCAAGTATGTGGAACATCCTCGGCGTTTAATGGCTAACAGATTTATAGGTATGCTAGTTTTTTACTATATACTAGAAACGTTGAACAAGCTGCCAAAAGGAAAGTAGCTTTGAACTGTTCTTTCCACTGAGTATACAAATATAAACATAAGGATGAACATTCAAAGATATACGTCATGTGTTTCGACGATGGAAATTGATGTATACCTACGTGTGCGAAAAACCTATATATCTATTAGTAATATTAAATGGAGAAATTTTTGTTTGTTTGTGACGTATAAAAACAAAAACATTATATTGATTTAAACTCTTTTACCATTAGAATGGCCCATTATTGCTGAACAACAATACAATATATTTATTATTACAAAATCTTAGGGATTAATACTAAAACTTCAATAATGTAATCTAAAGTATAAAAAAATATACGCCCTATACGCGAGGACAGGACGGGAATCCTGAAATAATATCTGAAATCTAAAAGTCACGTTATTGTCATTTCGAGAAATCAAAGCCGTGTTTCAAAGGTATTGAATAAAAAAGTCCATGAACAATAAGCAATTGGAGTCAATGGAACACGTGATGTGCAATTGTTATTCGTTGGTAAGTAAGTATAATAATAAGAATACATGTAAGACTGCTTGGAACAGGGTACTGGAAAATAGAAGGCTACTAATACTCAATATCTCATAGTACTTTTCACATTATGGTCAATATATGAATTCTTCCTTAACTTAGTAGAATAGGAGCTATTTTTCTTCATGATACATTCCCGAATGTATATATATATATATATAAAAATATTTTTTTATGATTAAAATCATAAAATATATTTCTTTTAATAATGATATATGATGTATGATAAATCATACCTTCGAAATTCCGCAATAGCAAAAAGTTTCATAATTTGGTAACCACAATTTTGTAATAATACAAAATATGGTGACAATTATGATAATATATTTCGTTTTATTTTTAAATATAGATAAATTTTCTTTAGAGTCACAACTTTGATTAAAAATAAAAACTAATAAATCATGACAGTGCCTATAGTTCAGAAAATCTCTTATCTTATTGCCATGACAATGTTTTGTAAACGCCCTTATCGATATAAACAAGTTTTAAGTAATTCCGTACTCTGGACCATACGGGGTTTATTTTTAGAGCTGCACTGTAGAGAATGTAGCATTCATCAGGTAACTGTCAAACGGACCAATCACCCGTTGTGCTCTCAGTGGCTCGCGCTGCGGACATCATGATCTCACGAAGAATCCAGTTTCAATGTTGTGTACGTTACTATTTATATTTATTTAACAGTATGACTTATGCGTTTTTATACTATTTTGTGTGTTGCATAAAAGTGACAATAACAGTTCTAGTATACGCGTACTTTTACAGAAATGCAGTAAATTGGCACCAATTTAGAAATCGTAGAGGCTTTTGAAACTTTGAAAAAATATTTCAGCAGGTTGACTTCTATGGCGCAGTAGCACATTGCTTTCCGTAACCCTAATTTAGGTCCCATGTTGAATTTCCGATTTTTTGAGTCAGGGAAGTCTTTAATGAATATATGTTTTAAAAAAAAACGGTTTAATATATGTACTAAATTTACTATGGAGATTAACATAAATATGTTTTTAAGATTTATATAGTTTAAATTATATAGGAATTTTATTGCAGCTCAGTAATCACTTATTACATAAAAAAATCGTTAATATTCTTTTAAATAGAGCTTTGTAAACTAATTTCTTTTGATTTCCGTTTTATTTGTATTTTAATTTCATCTCAAATCTTAACGTATCTACTGCCAACGAGTGGAACGGAAATTTAATAATAGCGTTCATGATATTGAATTTTTTCAAAGAGTTTAGTATTTTGAAATACTTTTCTTATATACCGTGTTTATTATTATTGTTAGGATTATATTTGAATTCGAAAACATCATATTCTATGGAAATCTCGAATACTAATTGGAAAGAAATCATGGAGACTGGTTAGTAAATATATAATTGTGAAAATAACTGATTCATTATTCATTTTAAGCAACTGTAATGTACGTGTGCAATTTGTATGGGTATACAGTTCAAAAAATATTTTTAAATTTTCATGTTCATGTAATATTTTCGTGATTATTCAGTTTCATTAGTTATCTACTGTAATTTGATTTAATTCTCATGTATAATTGATTAGTAGGTAGAAATACAAACACAATTATTAATTTACTAGCTGTACTCTCGGTTTCACTCGCGGTAAACTTAGACATAGGATATGTGCTATTTTGATGATCCGCTCAGTAGTTTTTGCGTGAAAGAGTAACAAACAATCCATTCACAATCTTTCGCGTTTATAATATTAGTAAGTTACTTGTTACCCGCGAATTTGCCTACATTAACTTTCTTCTACTATTTCACCCCACTGCAGATTAAGTTTTGAGATAAAAGATGGCCATCGTCGTGATACAATCATTTAATTAGGATCCATACATTCGCTTAGCCGTGAAAAAAAAAACAAATGGACTGACACACTATAGCATTTATTATAATAATATGTGTACTCGCCTACTTAATATGTACATGTATTTATGAAGTCAACTGTTAGTTATACTATAAGTTTTGGACCTATATGTATATTCGTATATTAACAGTTTCGGCGGTTTAGCGATTTACTTCCGATGGTCGCGAGTTAGATTCCACGCACACTAACATTCGAGTTCGTAACTGATTGTATGTATTGGTCTGAGTGTTTTCGATTATGTATGTAATTGAGTGTTTCTAATGTAATTCACTAAGTGAATTGTAGTATATATTTCATTATTAATATTTTGTTACAGATTTACATAGCTATGATACTCCACAAAAATGACGTATACGCAGAAGAAACTAAAACCTACAGAATAACAGACAAGGTTTTTACATGCAGTGGATGGCTTTCATTGTTGATAAACAAAGTTTGCGATAACGTTTACAAAATTGTGAAGAGAGACACATCACTTTTAATGGGTAATTTAATAATTGGTTTAATAATACTTAGAATAATTAGTCTATTAATTGACGAATATTACTGACTATTAAATAACAATAATGGGTGAATAATAATTCTACATTCGTCTTTGCTAATGGTAAATACTGGTGGGGCATTAGTGAAAGATGATGGAATGAGAATGAAGTTCTGACAGCGCAATGTAGTAAACTCAACAGAAATTGGCCATGGTTGTTTCCAGGAACTGTAGTGGTGTACATGTATATAGATAGCAATGGGATCACTGGTACTTATTAATACTTAGCAATCCTCCCCCAAATTAATATGTTACTTGCTTTATTTAGGACAAACACGTGTCCTATATCAATTTAGAACTTTTTAAACGCGGTCACATTGTACGAGCAGGTATGTTACAGTTCTGTCACATCAAAATTACACCGTTCATATATTAATTTAAATTTATTTTATTGCATTAGTTTAAAAATCACATATTTTGGGAAATTGACTATAAAGTTTGAATTTTAAAGTTGCCTCTAAAATATTGATTTTTGAGTTAATTCAGAATTGTATTAAACGTGCGATATATTAGTCATTTCATATCATTGATACGTATGTAACACGTGGTGGCTCACGTGTTACATCTAGAATGAGTAACAAATATTTAATTAACAAACATTCATACTTGTATGATGCATAGTATTCGTAGGATATTGGTATAAACTTTTATCTTTTTTTTTTGTTTTCCAGAAAAATTAACTCCAAAAAGTGTACAAGAACAAAAAACAAAGCAGCGGAAGCTTGCCAAAGAGCGATGGCGGCGCGTGCGCAGACAAGTTGCGAGCGAATGCTGCGATAGACCCTGTACCGTGGGAAACATCATCATGTACTGTCCAGAAGACGCCAAGTTACTGAGAGAGAACCCGGATTTGTTCGATGACTAGTTACCTGAATGAACTAATAGAGTATTATTATTTATAGAAAATAAATTAAGTACAAATACATACTGCTTTTAATTACATCATATTAGCCATGCTCTAGACTCCGTCTGTATAATAATGACATAATTATAATTATTGTGCAAAAAATGTCTACATATAACGGCTATTTCTATAAAGCCTGGTGGTCATTGTATAACAAAACTACCTCACATTTATAATAAAAGTCGTCTTCTACTTCTATTTATAGATCGGTTATCGATTACTCGGAGAAATGTTCAGCAGTGAATTAAGAACGGCTGAAATGGTGATGATGAATATATAAGCTTCATAAATTGCCTGAGAATATATTTTTGATGGATTGTAGTTAAGTAATGGGTATGGTGTGAAGCGTCGCTTTGGGTACGCGTACAAATTACAACTTTCAGATTTTAGATTTCCTTTTATTAAGATTTTATTTTATATAATTGGAATATAAGCTAACGACCCATCTTGTATTAAGTGGTATCCGTCGTCTAGATCTATACATGAACAGCATCACGTGCTCATGAAACTCTCGTGATACCACTTATGCATAGTCATTCCGGTAGACTAAGATGCAATCAATCGTATCCTGTAATATGCCTTATCTCCACTCCTCAAACGAAGCGGAGCTTACAAAGGAAGCTGCTTGAAACAGGTGCGACTGAGGTTTTATTATTATTAATTATTTTATTTCGGATTACATACATATTGAGTTAGTAAAAACTTATATAACTTTGTTAGTAACTTATAATATACAGATCTAGTTTTAGAATGTCTACCTTAATCTATAATCGCATAATTCACTCCTTAGCGTATTAATGGAATATTAATTAAAATTAATTTTATATCATGTATATACCGATATAAAGGTAAGTACTCGTATTTTGACAAGTCTCATTAATTTACTTGTAAGTTTGTTAATTTGTACCACTGGGTACATTTACTAACATTGTATAATGGTGGAATGAGACTGTAGTATTTATGCATAGAAATTATTTTGGACCATGTGACTGAACTTTCAAAGAAGTAACAGGTACTCTACATTTTTAATATATCTAACGAAATTGTTTAGTATTTTGAAATCAGTACAATGACTATGTTATGTCATGTCTGATCAAACCATGGATTTAAAATTCATGGTAATGATTTCGTCTAATACGTAGAGGCATAAAGTTATAAGTAATTATTCTAGCGTTTAAAACGTTTTTTTACATATAATTTGAGATAGGTTCATTCATATGATTCGCATAGAATAATTATTGTCGCCATCAATTAATATCAAAAACCATTCATTAAGTTGTTTTCATGGAATCAGATGAGTTGAAAATAAAGGTATGCTCATGTTAGACACAATTTTATTACACATATATGATTAGTAAAGATGATATGAAAAATAAAATACATAGGTAACTTTGAAGTAGATATTATCAATTTGCTACCATGTAATTTGAAGCTTTATTGCTTTAACCACAATAAAAATATTATAATCAAAGGTATAGTTTTACTTTTGTAAAAATAACGGTTAGCCATACGTACCTACTATATGTTGGTAATTTTAAATAAAAAATATCATCTACTTTTTATTTTGTTAGCGAAATACAATACAAGTTCACTAATATACTAAATAGGCAACTATTTTGAAATGTTTTCAACAGGCTTTCTTCAATAAATTCTATATCCGCATTTATACCATATTTTAGAACACCCAGCATTCAAGTACCAACTTAATCATGTGAAGTTATCTACAATATTTATTTGTGATATTGTGGAAAAGGAAAGTTTTATAACTGGAACTTATTTCTTATCTGGATGTAGAGTACCTATATTAACAAATGAGAAAGAATTACAATACACGCTTTCTCAAGTAATGTAGTCTAAACCTAACACCGGTCAGGATACTATATAAGGGTGGGTTTTATATACAAATTACTCATATCTAGGTATATTCATTCCTAGCTTAGACGTGATATAAGTGACATCTTTGGTAAGGTAGTATAAAAAATTTACAAAACAATCCATAAAATTCATGCGGTATTAGTATAACCCGCTTTTCGAATTAGTTATTTAACTCGTTTTTTAAAGTGACTTTCAGCATGAAGTTGGCAATTTTATCTTGCCTTGCTGCTTTGTTATTTAATGTAGCCGCAGATGAAGAAAAGGTGAATCTATGTGGACCAGAGCTGGCCAGGGCAAGGGTTCTGCTGTGCTTTGGAGCTGAATATGTTCTTAAAAGGAGTTCCTCCCACTCATACGAGCGTTAGTATTACGTTTAAATTAAAGTAATTAAAGTTTGTTTTCTCAGGTAATTATTGTAACCTTAGGACTGATAATTATTTCTCGGTATACTATGTAGGACTCCATCTTTGTCTGTACATTTTAAGATGTTTACTTTCACTTATTTATTGAATTTATTACAGCTATAGTCAGACTCCTACTCCGTAAATATGCTTGGAATATTAATTGTAATGAATTACAATGTTTACTTCTTTTTCACGTTTATGTTTGGTAAGATTAAAAAAAAAATACCAGTAAAAACTAAAAAAAAATACAGATAGTCTTATACGTAGCAAGCATGATAAGAGCAGATAGCATCGTAGCAGCTACATATATAGGAATCCCATTGTGAATTATACTAGTTTTTAAGTGTTATTCTGAGATGTATACTATTGAAAGTTACATCAACTTATCCTCCAAAAATCAAATGTTTTAGCTTCATGCAGAACTTATTAAATTCGTACTTCAATAAAAACGTTGATATTTATAATTTAAAGGATGGTCATGTGTATAGCAGCCTTTTATGATCACATTACTGGGCCCGGATATATTCCTACTAGATAATTGTATAGAATGTAGTAACAGCTTCCAGTAGTGTATTCTAGTTTCCTTCTTTTATTTTATGTATTAACGAGGTAGATTTTATATAAAGCCACCTGCATCAGGTTTCAACTAGTATAAAAACAGTGTCTAATATTGAAAAGGGGATTATAGCAGTAAAATCATAGAATACGAAAGTATGGCATATTAAAGCTCTGGAATGGAAACGTATACTTGAATACTAGCATAGCAGATCGCATATCGCTGTCGTAATAACTGTACATGCATCTACTACAATATGTAACCCACAGTTGCCACTTTCCATCAAGTGTATTATCAGCCTGTTTGCCTTTCCAACAAAAAAGTATTAGCGCTTAAGACTATTAGGGAAATATTCCTATTCGCCTTTTACCATACCACACATTCTATTCTAACTGAGAATGTTAGCATAATTGTAAGGTAGCAGATTTTGTACAAAGTGGTGTCATATACCTACTTACTATCTACTGTACCTTTTTTTCACCCATGGCGCCACGCTTCTTGCTTTATGATCTGTAGTCTTGTTGAAGGGTAAGATATGACAGTGAAATTACAGAGTAGCAACGCTGGGTACAATGGGTGTCATGCACATGGCTCGAATAGGTGTACGATAGACGGTTGGCATTTCATTAGGTGACCCTTTAGCTTCTATATCATTTTATTTACATAAAATCAGGATATAATAATTGTATTATATAAATAATCTGCAGCAAAGGAGTACGAAGATCAAAAACCAGAGGAACCGACGTGGCTATGGAGCGGACGGCACGGGGTCCACGCAGCACGATGGGCCAAGAACAAACGCGGTCTGGTAGATGATTGTTGCCTCAACCCTTGTACAACTGACGTCATACTCAGTTATTGCTAAACTAATACAGCAAGGTCACTCATTTATTGGGACTAACGTTACCAATTGTGAATGTAATATAGCTTAACATTATATTGATGCATTATATAAAGTAATCTCAACATAACAATTATAATACAAATGATATTTTATCTACTAATATGTATAAAAAATAGGATAAACATGTATCTATCTTAAATTGTATTGTATAGTAGTCCTATTAAAACTGGAGGTACAGGTATAATTTTCCGTAAAGTAATTGAATTTCAAAATAATATGAATAGTATTAACATTTAACTATTGTTTTTTAACATTTCTATATATTTTTTTTTGCGTAACTTTAAAATATTATTTTTGTTATAGATAGTACATAATCGAACTTTAACAAATGAAATTATGAATATACAATTAATTTTATAACTAATCATTTTGTTAGTTACAAATCAACCCTACACGGGTTGATTTGTAATCTAACAAGTGCATGATTATAATTATACAATATTCAAACAATATTTTTGGAATAATACGATATTTAGATAATTTCAATTTATTTATTTACAACACTACATTAAAAAATTAACGTACAATATGTCTGTTAGTGTGCAGTGCCAAGTACTATGTATGCCTATTAGTAAACATTAAATTAGCTTTTCAAAATATCATATGGTTCATATTATTTTTTGATAACGTAATCTTGGTTAGTTTGTACCTATATATTTGTCATTTCAGTGGTACCGTTTATATCTTCATATTATTTTATAAGGAAAATGATAACACTTTTCTTCGAGTTATCTCAGATTTTATAATAAACTAACAAAATTTAAAATATATTTTATGAACATAAACATACAATTTCCGAAGCTTTTGAAATAGTGTAATATTATAATAAACCATAGAGACATATACTGAAATAAAAAAGGCTTATGTACACCTAATTAGAACACGATTATATAAATCGATAACCGTTAAGCATTTATCTTCTATTTAACAATTTAAAATTGGTATATATCGCTAGATTATGTAAATTAATACATAATACATATATTAAATTGTTAAACTATTAATTTCTATCGGTTTCATGTAACATCTTTACAATAATCTAAAATAGGGTAGGGTAAAGTATTATTTTTGAATTCCAATAAAGAAATGTTATTCTGTTATTATTATTATTAGGAATAGATTTACTAATGCTGATGCATTATGCTCTTATTGGTATCATATATGTTTGAATGTATAGAATAAGGCTCACTTTCGATTCGGAACGGTTTAGATAAAAGTTCATAACTTTTTTATTGCATCCGATATTGGTGCCAGTAGATATTGACTGGATCGAGCCCAAACTATATACGCAATATCGGCTTCGGCGCTTTCTCTACTTACAAAACCCAATGAAATTCCCGACCAAAACATTTCTATTAAAATATACAGCAGGCGCCCTTGTATAACAGGATCGCAGCAGGTAGATCCAGCCATTTTTAATATGGATTCGCTTTTCGTTTGAAAAGTAATAAAGTCAGGAAGCTACGGCGTCTCGATATACATATGTATGTATGTATTTTGTGATCTTCGGGGGGCTGTCTATAAGCGACTATTATCGAGTTTACCGTCGCAGCTAGTCGCGTATTTATATGTATGAAAATTAATAAATAAAAAAAAATTAAATGAACCTTGTAGCCAGAACAGTGGTATGTATGAGCAATAGTACTTAATTTCAGTCATTGACCGGCCTTTGGTGAAAATAGATTATTTATAATACAGTTACATTTAAATACTATCTGAAACAGCATCTTAGTATTTGTACTAGTCGGAATAACTCATATTTTTTAGATTGTAAATCGACTGGAATAAAACAAATACAAAGTATTATAGAATATATCAGTAAATCCCGAGTTCAAAACGGTTAAGCTTTTTCTATGATTAGCGTACAGTGAGAAACAAACAGAATATTTAAAAACGACTTTTTTTAATTTGGGAATGACATGGGTCGATTAGGATTTTATTATAGGTATATTAGTGTATGAGACACCTTCTCTGTATAAACAATGTTATTGTAGTTGTGTAGGTACGCATATCCTTATAGTTTATAGTTATACTGGAATGAAAAAATATTTCAATGTTGTATTTCTTTAATAGGCTAAACAGAATTAAAAAAATATAAGTAGCTGTACATACTAGAATACTTAGATACACTTATGTAAATTTACATATATTTATATTCAGATAAAGTAAAGAAATAATAAATTTAACGGATATTATCTCGCCTAGGTACATCATTTTTTGTTAATAGCTAAAATAAACATAACAAAATAGGAGTTTTGAGATTTGAGATGTATAACAGAACTACACACATAGAATATTAACTACTGATAAAAATTATATAAAGTGAAGCTTGAATCGTAACATGATCGGAGATAATGAAATACAATTCGTAGTTTTATGGTCTATTATTTCAGTTAAGTATAATATATATAAATAAGGAAATTTCAGCTTTCCACACCCACAATTGTTCTTCGATCGATCCTCTGTCCCATGCTATCACGGGATAGAGCTACAGGCTATGGTTGAAAATGACGACAGTCTGTAGCTCGGTATGAACACCAACTCCCAGCGGCGCCTTCAGACTAATGTCGTTACCGTCAGGCAGATGTGGCCCTCCATAAGACCTGATTCACTATATTAATAATATGCACTAACCGGGAAGATATAGATTTAAAACAACTGCTCCTAAGTCGTTCCGCAGGTTTAGAGTGCACTCTGCATTCGTCCCCATTTTCATCGTGTGAAGCTGTAAAGGATTTCAGCGGCCAACACCATACGTGATGTTGAAAAAAGCCTACTATAGACTTCTTCTACAATCATAAAGACGTTTTATTGTTTATTGACTCCCTTTCATACATTTCAGGTAAGCGCTCCACTGCACTGCGTTTATTAAGTAATGTCACACAATTTTTAATTTGACCATGTACAAAAACTTTTCGAGACCTTTACGAATTACGTAAACCAACTAATATTAGTGCAATTTGGACATTTACCTATCTATTATTTTTCGAGAACAAGACATTTCGTTATTGTAACATTGTGTAGCAATGTATAATATGTTTGTACATTCACTTATTTATAATTTGTCGATTAATTATGATCATTTGCCTTACAACATTGAATTGCACTCTTGTGTATGGTAGGCTATAGATAGAGTTGCATAAATTGTCCATGTAGATGATGAAACTCTTGGCGTGGCTGACCACAAATACCAGTGGTCTTCATTGTTCTTTGGTCACGAACTTGGCGATAGATCTGTCAAAAATAAGCCTGTTTTCAACTAACTTTTTCAATAAGCACTAAAATAAAAGGATATGATTGGAACAGGTAAGTTTAGGATAAAAACGAACGAACGAATTGTGTACTATGAGAAAATGGGTCTTATTGCGATCTGCGATCTAACGCACTCCACTACTAGTTGGACAATAGAAATGATTTTAATGTCACGCTCTAGGCTGTTTAATGAAATACAATAAGAATTTTGTTGCTTGAGATCAGATATTGGTGATAAAAAATAAATAATATAAAGATGGAGAAATAAATAAGAAAAATATAATCCTTATAAAACCAGTCAATATAATTTATAACATAACATAAAAAAATAATGAATTTATTATTACCTAAATTTTGCATTTGATGTCGACTAAGTATTGCAACAAAATTGTCTTCAACGGAAAAAATGTCTGGATCAGCCTCTTTCATTTCCAATTCAGCATCTGAAATAAGTTTTATTACTGAGTTTATTTATTCTACATTTGTAACTTTTAATTTTAAATCTACAACTCATTTAAATATTAACAACTGCGAGAATTGCTAACTATGTATATTGAATTAATATCCGCAACTCCTATTCACAGAAATTCTCAGATTTGCTACAAGTAACAATACATTTGTTACTTTTATTACATAATTACTATATTGTTTTTCTAAAACATTGGAGATATATTATGCTATATTCAGTAACGGATCTTACAATTAGCGATATTTTAAGAAAAGTACAATGACTCCTGTGTATTTTATATTTTGGTGGTATTAGGTGTAATTGCTATTAGGGTCTATCGATTTACAAAGTTTCCTTGAAATCTATTCATAAATAAATTATTAATCGTCAAATACTTTTATACATATGATATGAATAAATATTTTGCATTGGAGTCGTAGCGGGGTAATCCTAAAGATTGCTACGCACATCATACTATGTATCTTCGTATCGTATATCTACGCAGCTACGATTATACCAGGCTACGATAACGACTTGTGTGTAAAGGCCTTATATATAAAAATGTAGGACACGATGTTTGTTGGGGACTAAACCCGATATTACTTTATATTTCTTTCTATGAAATTATTTTTTTATAAATAGTAGTAAATTTGGTTTAAATTTACTATTTTATCTTGATAAGTGATCCTCCATATTTATTTATTTATCAGGTTTGTGAATTTCACCGTAATCCCCGGTACTACTAATCCGATTTTAATCGCGTAGACTGAAGAAATGATTGATAATAGAGCAAAGTGACCTGAGTGCTATAGAGGACATCAATATTTACAAAAAAAATCAACGATACCATATATCCTTACAGTATGCCACAAAAACTACTTTTTCATGGTAAAATATGCGATGATAACGCCAGTACAAGACTAGGTAATATTATTGGTACCTATAAAAAAATGGACAAACGTGTGAGGCTGTGGCGGCTAGTATAATATAAATGAAGATTAAAAACGAGTAACACTTACATGGATGTAGGGTAATGAGCGTCGTCGGTTCTTCGATTATAACTTCCGTTATGTTTGTAGAACTTATCACAGTTGTTGGGACAAGAGCTAAAAATATAAGTAATCACAAAAAATACTTTAGTAGGGGTTTATACATTATAATAAATACCTATTATTATAAAACTTCATTGCTAGTTGCTTTTATCCTGTAATTTCACAGCCTAATCTCATTTTACATAAGAAACACATATTACAGTAAAGAGTTCAAATTTACGCAGAGAACTTTGTACAGTCTGCCTCTGATAAAATAGCACTAAGAATTAATAGAAAATTCCTGTAAAGTCTTAAATTAACTAAAGACTAATAAAAAACGACTTACTATAAAGTGTTACGTCATCTCGCGTAGAGCCAAGCGAATTCTCCGCGTAGCAATAATATGGGCCAATGTCTTCACGAGATATATTGTTAATCTTGAGTGTCGCTGTATGTTTATAACTTACTGATATTATGCTTGTTTGATATTTAGTGTCTGTAAGTAGTTAGGTTAGAATGAAGTCTCAAGTGCTGAGAAGTATTTGTAGAAGGTAATATTTAACAATCCTGTTTTTATAAACAATAAAAAGTCACACAAAGTCAGATAATTAAGAAGATAATACAGCGCTATTTCATGGCTAGGGCAATGTGTCATACAAGAATAATAAATAGTCCAGAACAATTCATATAACGCCATCTAGTTCCAATGTAAGCAGAGCAGTTGCTAAGTATGTACATCTTCACTCTAATCCAGTAGTTAAATCCTACTAATCTTTAAGGAGAGTTATTATTCACATATTGCAAAAATGGCAGAAGAATTAAATAAACCTGTTGTTATGAATATTCGATTGGTATTTAACACAATATGACAGTAATGTAATTTTCATTCGCCTTGTTGGTTCTTCTTTTTAATGAATAACAAGTACCTTACTAATTAATTATGTATTTATTGAAGCAAATTTTAATTATAACACACGAAAACAAATCACAGTTCTATGTAACAACATACTTTAATGTAATTGATGGGGTGAAATGATGATGACGGTAAACATATTTTAAACTACCTGCCTCCGCGACCTCGTCCGCGTGGAATTTAACTTCAACTAAAATAAAAGTAACCTAAGTTACTCCTTATTATATCAGCTACGTGTCAAAAAAGTCCTGTCATAATCGGTCCAGCCATTTCAGAGAATAGCCGGAACAAACTCTCCAATTTTATTTATATCAATATGTAAAATAAATGGTAAATGTTATTCGCTCCCAATCTATTTAAGATTAAAGTGATATAAAAATAAATGCAACAGATTTAAGTTTTATTAAGAACATTTGACTTTAATCTCAGTTTTAAGAGCATTAATAAGTTATAATGTCTCAGGTGTAGACGGCAGGTTAGCTATAAATTCATGACCAATCAATAGATTCCAAACTTAGATTTCGAGCCAGTTGAACGTTTGGTTAGATATCTACTCGTATCTATTGACAGCTTAGTTGAACTACGGATTAATTTGTCATCCAACGCACGGTCTGGTTGAGTTAACATGGCACTACAACAACCCCAGGGGATGACCGCTCTCAACGTTGCCTTACCATCAACCGTTTCGTGACTTCAATGAATTATAGGCGATCTGATACTTAAGTTTAAGGTTTAAGGTAATAATCATGTTGCATTCAACACTAATAATTTTTAACTGACTGTCCAATTACAAGTTTCTCAATTCGAAGGTAAGTTTTAATAATTAGTGGGTTAAAAAAATATATAAGAAAAAGTATATATTTGTAAATTATTTCTTCGGAGAATTCTACGCCATCGAATTTATATATTTTATACAATGACGAATGGGTAGTGGTCGACCGTCTAAAATAAGGACTTTAGAATTTTAAATTTTTTTTCAAAGTCTATAAAAACTATTTTGGTAGTGCTCATTTTTTTATCTCTGGTAATAATTCACACAACGTCGTCTAGTCCCAAGTGTTGTAGTTTTATTTTTATATGTAATAATAATAATAATAATAATAAAAAAAATATTTGCAATAGATTTTGGGTACATACATATATGATGTTATACAAAAACATGGCCCTTGCAAAATCTGCTTATATCAAGCGTACAAATCTTAAGTTAATTAAATTATCGATTGTTTATAATAATTATGAATTATGTAATTAGGTAAATAGAAAATAGAGGAAAAATACTAGGAATACAGGTATTTTACATAGGTATGATTGTTAAGAAGTTGAAGTATAAACAAAATTGTATAATAAAAGAACTATAAATTTAAATACAAATTTAGAATAAAAAATACATTACTGATTAGCCAGTACAGTATGCAACACCAAGTTAACAGAGCCTGTATTATTATTACTATACAACTGATACAAATACATAAATACATTTTTTTGTAAATACATACATAATATACATAAAAAATGCCCAGACCGATACAAACATGTGTTTGTACCATACGAGGATTAGTACTAAATTAGATTAGTATAATACTTAATTACTATTAATTAGTGTTACTACTTACGATCTGTCAATTTATTTTCATCAATGTGAGTCCAGTAAACGTCTGGTATTGGATTAGCTTCAATTCTGCATCGTAGTAGTACGGTGTCGCCGATATAACCTCCTATCATCTTCTGCATCATACTAGCGGAGGGGGCGCCTGATTGTTTATAATTAAATTATTTGTAGTTGAGTATAGAAATATATTTTTTTTTAAATACATACATTAAAGACAAAAATCAATAATAACAATTTCATGTACACAAATGTATGCATCGTGCGCGGCCTCGAATCCGCGACAATTGGAAGCAAAAAAATCTTTAAGGAAACAGTATTATTCTAAATGTAATAGACCCCCGTGGATAGATAACTAGACAAAAGCTTATATTTTACATCAACTCTTGTTTGGTGGAAAATTACAGAGCTTTTGTATAAACATGTATACATAAAGCTCTTAAGTTTATTAAAGAGAATTGTGTTAGAGAGCTTCGTGAGGTATGAGGTTTCTCACCTCACTTTACACAGGTATTGTGTAAATAAATGCTAATTACCTATATACATAGAATATATTTAACATCACGACGAAATGTACTTACATAATATTGTTTGCGATTGTTTTCATGCTTACCTTACATTACCTATATCAATTTACTGGAAAAAAAATATACCATGTTGTTTTCGTGACCTAATTCAAGTTTGGGTATGCAACATTTTACAGTGATATTATTAAGCCGTCAAGACATAAACAAACAACATCTTCCTCATATTATAGAAAGAATTAAAACAAAATTACAACAAAATTTAGTTATATTACGTAAATTTAAATAAAAATTGACAACGACATGTAACAAAAGGAACAAAATGAAGTTTATTAAGGACGGCCTTATCGAGAGTAACGATCTCTAATACTGGGACCTTTGTATGGAGAGGAATAAATAAAGTAACTGGTAACAAGTATATTCCACGGTAACATCTAAAGATTGCTTACAACAGCAAAATTGCCTTGATACTAAAATTTAACAAATGTATGTAGCATAAATATAAGTTGTCTCTAATATCTCATCAGAAAAAATGCAGAATCAAATATCGATAATGTGGTGTTCCTTTACCGTCTTACTCTAAATCGGTACCTCTAATAAGCAAAATATTCTCACACTACAGAAAATAATGCTAACTTTGTTGTGATACAAAATGATATAGATAAATTTTAACAATAAAAATACCACATGTCGTAAGATGAAGAAGATGCCAGAGATATCTTTAAACAGCCGACAAAGTATTGCCAACAAATATCGAATACTTTTGATCCTACGCACTCCTAATATTCCTGAAGACTATAGATTATAGAAACTCCCTCATTTTACTAATAACAATATGCTATTTTGCCACAAAGGTATGTTCTAAAAGTAAAATCTCTAAGTAGAGTAGCACAAGCAGTTTACTAACATAATACATGTAGAAGAATCCGCTTGCTAACCGAAGGGGGGACTCCGTTAGTGGCTATACAGAGGAAGGCTCCGTTGAGTTCACGCCCCACTGAGGTTATGTTTAACCAAACGCCACTCCATTTGGTCACTGCAACATACTTATAATTAACTAATAGCCTCGATATCATAAGTATTTCTGGTATAATTATCAGAAAATATATAAATAATAAATTTCATTATATAGAGTCGACTAAATTTGAGAACTTATTATAGAAATAGTTTTCAAAAAGAGCGACCTTGGAAATCTAGGTATTTGAAATAACTTAGGTATCTAGCTTTTATGTACACAAATTTAGTATAAATCGCTATTTACTAGTGTAAATTTTTTCACTACTAGAATATATAAAACTTTGATGAATACTTATATGACGAAAACAAATACGCGCCATTTTGGTCTTCAATTCTTATTTCGGTGGAGTCTTCCCTTCTCCAGGTGATGGTAGGTTGGGGTGTACCCGAGGCGGAACAGTACAACGTAACATTATCACCTTCATGTACTGTTACCTCGCCACTGCTCCCAGAGTCGACTATATCTGGAGGCACTAAAGGAAAATATTAAAATCGTATCATTTACTTTTACGTAGGTAGGTACAGAAAGGCTTTTATGTCGTAAATTTTTAATAGATTCTATATTTGTTTACAGGTTACTAAGTACGTACGTAATTAGGTACTTAAGGAAAAAGTAGAGCCACTTTTATCGGATGTTATGAGTATTAATTATTACTAGAATGCTTTTCATTATTATATTTAATGGACAGATAAAAGGAAAATAGCAAAATAAACTGTTTTATTACTGCTTATTATTAAATACATGCATAATATGTAGAAGTTCGTGACATGTTAGATGACCTGGTGAGCCCAGCAGGTTAGCACACCGCTTTATTTTATAATCTCGCCGGTTCGATTTCTCGCTCGGTAACAATTTTATTCCTGTGTATGATTATTTGTATCGTTGAATATTTTCTATGTACTATGTATTCATACAAAACAGTAAGTAAGTATTTATATCAGTACCCATAACACAAGCTCAGCTTAGCTCGAAGCTAGACTACTGCTGCTGCTATGTGAATTATTCAGGATTATTATTATTAATAATAGTTATTTATTGTTAGATACTAAAGTACATTTATGATATCGAACGTATAAAAGGATGATTTCTAAAGTATAGTTATATATACATATGTAAAAGTATTTTATTGGATAATATTATATTATTATTATTATATTGTGTTATTTTCTCAGCTTTTTCTAGATTTTTACGCTTTGTGACGTATACTACACTTACGGGCCGAAATCAAGTAAGAGCAGTATGTGTCTGTGTGTGTGAGTGGGTACTTGAAAGACAGAAAGAAAGACTTTACTTATTGTCGCAATTTTCATTTTTATGTGACTGGGACATTCATTATTATTTATTTATTGTTGTTTTAAAATCCATAAAAGTACTCACCAAAAACCTGAACATGATGTGTCTGTGTAATCATAGGGTCGGTGTTGATTTGACACATGTAGTAACCTCTATCTGAAAACCGTACGTCCCTTAAAATCAAGGCCCACGCCTGTGGATCCCCATGACTGACACCTACCCGATGGTTCTTTGTAATTACATGCGGACCTATGGTTAAAATGGTCTGTGTATCCACTCGTAACCATGCCACCTAGAGAAAAGTAAATTGCTTTGTAAGAAAATAAAAATAATCACGCTCAGAAATAATCTAACTAATTTAATATTTAGGACACAAAATAGAAAAACATACGTATGTACGTTTCTCTATATAGGGAAGAATTATAATCATATATAATATATACAGGAAAATTAGAGAAGGCAATGTAATTACAGTAATGTTTTCAAAATAAATTAAGCATGGTTAAATCTGAAGTCGCGTATATGTACTGAAATACCTACTTATATATCCGAAGAATTGAAACTATAGAATAAACGGAAATCATTAGAAAATGCATGCGAAACCATAAAAATTATATGTGAATTAGTGCCTTTTTTGGAGGATTAGTCTTTTTTCTAGACGGTGACAATATCGTATCAAACATCAAGGCGAACGTAACATTTCGCTCGCTGGGTATATTTGAATTCAAAGTGGCTGAAGGTGAGCCTACTGCATGCCATCGGATTATTTTTCGGTTCCTTTACTGGAGAGTCAGTTAAAAATATAAACTGACTCTTAAAGTATTTTGTTCTGTTTCCGCCAGATATTACCGCACGTTCATTTAAGTAAGTCGGTGTAAGTCGGAGTAGTAAACCACTAGGTCACAAAGCCGACGCTCTCAATAGCACTATAGATTAAAACGGAAACTACAAATTGGTTAATTAAAAATCATATAATATTTAATTACAGTCAAAATACATAATCATTTCAGTATACAATACTTACCATATGACTTACTCTGCTAATTACATATTTTAATATCATTATAAAATTGCCCGTTTCCATTGTGGATTCAATATAGGTACATCATTAAATCGTGATTTGGTGCAAACGAGCTGGAACTTTGCTAATGAGTTCATTGAAAGGGTCTTTCATTGGATGTGAACGATTAACATTTAAGATAATTCATGTTGCACAAAGGGTTTAAACAATGGATCAGGTATTTAATCAACAAAGAGGTAGTACTGGCTCTTGAAATTGCGTTCACGTTCATGTTTTATGGTAGTAAAGTGATTTAGTATTATTCAACTGAAGATTTAGATCCTATCAGGATAAACTTAACGTACATTATAAACTTTTTTACAATGATTAACTCGAAACTCAATTCCAATGAATAGAAACAAAGAATAAATTTCCAGTATATCGTTAGTTAAAAAAGTAATATTATTATAATACCTTGTAGTTCTGTAAGTTTTCAATTTTACAGGTAAGTGCGGCGTCCCGGCCCACTACTACTGTCACATTCGTACCATACACCAAGAATCTCGGTTCATCTGCAAAACGGTATCTATATAAGCACTTACATGCAAATAAATAAAGTGCACTTTAATTTTGTATTGATTAAATTAATTTGTATATTCTGTAGAAAGTATTACAATACCTACCAAATACCTACAGCAATTAACATCCCTATCTCCATTCTAAGTAGGTATCCTATGAGTTTCTGACACGTCTTTCAATTAAAACGACATTTAGGGACATCATAATGATTCTGTTGTGTTTGAATTTTTAAAATTTGTATAAACATAAACTTTAATTTTTTACAAAAATAATATTGGATGAAATTTGGGTTCCGACGTTCATTCGATTAAAAAGAGAATGAATGTTATGTGTTTTTAAAATCATCCCAAATATATTATTCCAAACATTATTTTTATTTCTTAAACATTAGTAAAATAAAGCTGATATTTTTATAGAATAATATATAGTAGTACCACAGATAATATAATATTACATAGTAGTACTAACTTTAGCTGTTTTCAACATTCCTTTAGAACTCTCATAAAAATATTTCACTAAGTAGCTTTACAACATTTTAGTAGAGCATAAAGTCGTATTATATCTAGGTAAGCACAAGTAGATGTCTACTTTATTTATTTGGCTGAAAAGGCGTCCGATAAATATTCTAATACAAAGACATAATTCGTGTTTTTTCAGGTCACGTAGTATATGTAAGTACCTACCTACAATGATTATATGAATTACAATAAGTACTAATAATAAAATAAGCAACGAATTTGACGAAATCTCGTACCTAGATACTAAATGTCTATTTAGAAAGTACTCACCTAAATTGTATCCATTTATTTTGGATCGATCAGTATCGGGTTTTCATAATTCAATGAGATAGGACAATTCGTTTTCTCCTTTCGCGCGCATTTTCGTCCGTAATCGGCTTAGCAATGGGAGAAAACGTTACGTTACGAAAAAGGGTAAATGAAATTTTAACAAAACATATACAACATTCGATGTTCTTTCTTTATAGCGAAAACGATAAATAAAGTAACACACTTTGTAGCTTTAACTGTACCTAAAAGTTTAACACAAAAAATGTAACAATCATTTTTTTCCTCGAAATGCATTCAGCCCGAAATCCTTTATTATTTCTTCTTCCCTCACCACATCTAAATATTTTTTAAAGATGTGACAGGGAATGGACGTTTGACTGTACAGCCTAGAAATGTCCTGTCGGGCACAATTATACCTTGTTCAGTAACTATACGTACTATTTACTGATTATTGATGTAATGTTTATAACTGTTGGATATGCAGTGAAAAAGATCTAGCCATGGTGACTAGGTCGTAGTCTTTGAGTATTTATATAAAATGAGCTACTCGCCCCGGCTTTGCACGGGTGTACAATTGTACATATACTATTCTATATATATATATATATATATATATCTTAATCTTGAATCCTACAATCTATTAAAAAACCGCTTCAAAATCCGTTGCATAGTTTTAAAGATTTAAGCATACATAGGGACGGACAGATAGCGACTTTGTAATAATAATGAAGAAAGTCTAGACGATGCACTACGTAAAAGAATAAGTTCACATATAAGTGGGACAAATAAAGAGCGGTAAGGTAGCTTCACTTCAATTTTAAATTGTTATCTATCGATAATATGTCGAAAATTTGGTATGAAATAATATTAGATTTGAGGTAGGTACACTCAATTTCAAAGTTTTTCCACATGGTGCGTTAAAAACAATTAAATTTTCATTTTCACAATTGTAGGTAGGTAGTTTTAGTACGGTTAAGGATATAGGTAATTGGAGGATCTCAGATAGATATCAGACAGATAGAAGGATATCAGAACCTTATCAACATTATTGCAATTGATTATTATATACCTACCTACCCGTATTCCTGGTTACATGATAGTTTCAAATGTATAGACAAATCGTAAGAATTTAGAATTTATAGAAGCATATGCGGGAATTAGTAATGTGGAGCGAATTATTACAAAAATATAGGTACTACTATTTAAAGTATTTTTGGTAAATCATGTGATTTGTGGCTAAAAAGAGAGAGCGAGTTCGTTTGGATACCATAAACAAAAGCCTAGTAAGATGTTGTAGCTATTCCTCCGGAATGGGAATCCACGACGCATACGAGCGTCATTTAATGACCTGATGTTGATTGTGCTATTTATGTTTGTATACAATAAATGATGGTTGCCTCTTATTATCAGGTGTGCCATCAGATTATTGTCACATTAATTGGATAAAAAAAACTTAAGTTAACCCATTCCATATAAAAAGGTATCACTGAAATCTATATAACTTTAGTGAAAATATTATACAATACTAGCATATTGAAAACACTTCGAAATGGAGTACATATATTTTTCGGTCGGTTGAATATTTTATTATTATAAATACTCGGTTAAGTTGTAATTGTGTGACGGCTGCCAAAGTATAACTAGGTACATACTAGAATAAATATATTAGTCAAATTCTTATTACCTTTCGCGTAGATGATGCAAAATAGAAAAGCCAAAACAATAAACTTGTACACATTCATACTGTCAACAGTTAGGTAATTATAAGAGTATAAAATTAAAAAGTAGAGCATAAAGTTTCTTAAATTCATGAACAAAAATCACTTCTTTTGTTATATATTCTGAGATTCATTCGTGTAGAATTTTCTGCGGAAGGAGTTTACGAGTTCAGGAAAAGCAATCACTTCACGCTCAATTCCTATCAAGTATTTTTTCCAACTGACGGACACGACTGCTAGGATAGAAAGGCAACGCTACGCGCAAGCGCCAACTGTACTTTTACTTTGATTGAATAAAATATCTTAGGTGACTTGCAGTGTCTTCAACAGACCAGAACAGTGTAACAAAACTAATAAACTAATTTAGAATTAGTTTCGAAAGTTTTTATACATATCAGACTATACCTTCTCGCAATATCCCTTGTATTCGAGTTACCCCGTTTTAAGTTTCAAACTTTACCTTACTTACTTCTTTTTTATTATTCTTACTCACTACTGGTATCAAGTAAACGTGAATTAGTTTTTAAATTTTTACTCTTATTCTTTGAAGTTAGCGGTTCAGTTATAGATCTCAAATCAATGTATAGATATCAAATCAATGACATAATTACCTTATAAAATATATTATGGGTAGAAACTATATTATCACAATTACAAAACATTATGTAACCATTGTAAGAAACTCGATTAAATATTTATTTATAATTCAATTCAATTCAAATAAATTGCCCTGTTTTAATATTTAAAATAATTTCCTTTGTAAATTTTGCCTTCAACGTTCTTTCGTTCATTTCGTACCATTTATTTGTACTTACTTCGCTCATCTTAAATTGTTTTAGTTTCACAGTTACATTATTAAATCGATTCTAAGAAAAATAATTGCTTAAAATATAATACCGGGCGAAGGAATGTGACGACGCCGCGACGCGACTAAGAAGGGGAGAAGCAAAACTTTATCAATTTTACGATAATTTGGAAGTAATTCGCGTAGGGCGTCTATAAAAAAAACTACAGCAATATTTATCATTCTATACCGTATGATTTATTAAACGCTGCATTGTTTAGTGTGTTTCGATGATAGAATATACCTACCTATTATAAGTTTGATGCATGACAATGTGTATGGTTCACAAAAAAAAACTAAGTTTTTATACACTCTCATTTTTAATTCCCTTTTATACTTTTATGTGTAATATTTTACTGTTCCTGTAACGTTTCAGGATATAAATCTTAGGTATGAAAGGAAGACACTCCTGAAAAACTAACATCATAAAATCAATGATTTGGTTTTAGCCATAGGTTTATTAATTTTCCAGTATCTAATTACCCGAGGCAAACATTGTAAAGTCGTCTGCGGGGTCTCAGCTATTTCAACCGGAAAGTACTACCATTGTAAGCTTTTTCGATTGTAGAGTTCGATTAAGCAGTGAAATTACAGGATACGAAGTGTCATAACATCTTAGACCTCCTGATTGGTATCGCACTAGTTGTATAACAGGCGTCACATGATAATGTTTCTATTGGTGCTATTCCAATTATTTAAAGAAATCGAAGGCGTTAGGTCTATCTAACCTAAAAATGCAGAATACTTTCAGTACTTTATCAGGAATATTATGTTTTAAATAAGAATTACATGTACATATTATTTTAATATTCTTAGATTTATTTTACATAGAATATTAGGTAGCCTTGTCTAATTCGTATTTATGTCAATTGAATTCTAATCTTCCGCCCTCAGGCTCGCTAAGTCGGTTTAGGTTGGTGATTAATTATACCGATGTCGAGGCTTTACTGTAAACAATGCTGAATTCTAAAATGAATACTACATACAATTTTGCTTAACTATAGGTAGATGTATTATTTATCGGTTGGTCAGCAAATATTACCTGTCTCTAATTCGCAAAGGGAATTAGATGGATGTGTATTATTTTTAGATCATCCGAACCATAAAAATAGTATTCCAAAACGCGACTATTAGGTACGTTTTATCATACCGCCTAACCCTTATAACAGGAATTTTTATAGTCCGCTGATAAATTTATCATTTGCTGTGACTATACATAATACTAATACTAATTATACAGAACAATTCACACAATGCAATCTAGTACCTACTGTAAACTACTGAGAAAAATACTTAGATATTTTTGTTGTAAATACTATACATAATAAATAATATAGATTGTAAATACTTTTACTTACACTAAAAACATTTTCACTAATAGGTACGTGCTAATACAAACTTTGATATCGTGTCAGACTACAATCCGTGACTATTGGCTGCAAGGCTAAAACATAAGGCTATCGACTATCATATATGCATACAAAAATAAAAATTGGGGATATTTTGATAAAAAATAAAATACTGACTGTATTTTAAATTTTAACAAAATATTAAATAGTAAAACTCTTGTTGATTAATTATATTTAGTTAACGTGATGGTTCACTACTAAAGTTGTGCCCTAAACTAGGTACGTGGCGTGGGTGCAGCAGTTTCAGTATAATGTCGTTGATTACGAAGTTGATTCCGGACACTGTATATTGTAGACAAGATACAGTGTGAGGAAACTTTGTCTACAGAAAATATATACTAATAAAATGCATATTATTTCTTACATTGACACATAAATTTTACGTATTATTCAATTTATTCACGCAAAGCTCTAATAAAAATAATAAAAATGATATTATCCAACCAAAGAACAGTATTACGTAACAACCAGTATAATTTTGCGTATTGATAGGTTGATGACCCACATTATCTTTACGTGATATTTTTATATTTACATTATCCTTGTATGTTTTATCTGGAAAACCAGCCTCTACTAATTGTCTCAATACGTGGTTAACAGACTTAGCTAGGGGCGAATATTTCTTGAAAAATATTACGGTGGGACTGCTAACTATTCTTTGTGACAAGATATGAGCTCTAATATTATATTTCCTGATTATTGCGGTTGCGGTTTCCAAATTCATTGCTAACACGAATTGCAGTCCATCATTTAATTTAAGTAAAGTCGGTATGATATCAGCGGTCTTTAACTCTTGCCACCCTTCATATATTAAAGGGTAATCTATATAGTAGTCCTTTAAAGCCGCGCCACCTCCAAAGCGATATTGTGCTTTGTATGCCTCTTCTATAGTTTCTATTTCTGCATAATAATAGTTGTTCTGTAAGGATGTTATAAGGAATACTTGGTAAGTAGTTCGTAACAAAAAACAGTACCACATCCACAGCATTACTATAATTAATGCTCTTAGCTTTCTCGGTAGATATGTAGCCGGCAAACCCATAAAAATCATCCAAAAGTAGAATATAGGCTCATATAACTTAATGCTTTGGTTGAACTTGCTCCAAAATTGATTTCTTATAAAAACAGTACAAATAACAACAAACACAAAACTAATAATCACCACCACTTGAGTTGATGCTTTATATGGATACAGCAACTTTAATGATGAGTGTTTCATACTTGCATGATGCGTAATCCAAACTATTTTCGTTGCGTAGTAATCTATTGACATTTGAAAATAGGAAAATCTGGAGAGAGTTAGCGCTCCAGAAGTCATGGAAAAATTTGCTACATCATCATAAACGTCTGCTAATGATCCGAACCAGTAGCCGTCTTTTCCAAGTCTTCCCCATCCGTCACCACGACGTGGGGTCATCATAATAAGAGTTGCATTTAAGCCGTCGGCAATTAAACGTAACAAATCGCCATCTGCGCCCCTGGGCTTGCCATGTTCAATTTTCATGTAAGGTGTTCGTGCGAACGTTGAAACTGTAATCGGACATTTATACAAATTTGCCAACTTTATAGGAAACATTCCTTTGCATTCTGTTTGATTAATATTTAGGCAATTATTCAAACTATTCAACTTGTATGGTCTTATACTGTGGCAGTTTTTGTCAAATTGGTAGACGTAACCATTTAATTCTTTACTGTTCGCGTGGTGTTTTATAAATACAACATTTATTATTTTGTGACTCCAAAAGACGTCTGCAGCTTCTTCTTCATCACAATGTGCATTTATTTTTGATTCACATATAATTATATATTTGCCTGTATTATCTAATTCGTGTACACTCATTGAATCAAGTAAGTTTATAATTTCTGTGATAGTATCTCCAAATAAAACGAATTGATGTGTTTGGTGTACGTGTTGTGGGTGTGCGAAGCCATGTACAATAATTTGACTTTTTTCATATGTTGATATAAATTTCTGAACTCCATGAATGATAGCAGAATTAAAAAAAACTAACGTTATATATCGCCATTCGAAGTTGTGATATGCTATATTAGCGGCACCTCTTGCTAGTTTGGTCAATTCAATTTGTTCTGCAGGTAACAATTCGTCGGTGTTTATAAACATGGTGATAGTTTATTGCACATAATGATTTGTTATGAGGTTGTAATGTGTGACATGTGATGAGTCCGAGCCGGTAGATTGATATCTATAGCAAATGCACGGCGTATGGCATGATTGCCTTCGCCGATAGTAACTATAAAATTTATCCATCACAAACGTTTTTATTTTATGGAAGTGAAGTAAACATAAAAACTAAATGGAGATTTAAGTACTAATTCATGTCGCTGTTCAATGTTGAAACAGATTATTAGAGATAACTAACAAAGTTACTATAAATATGGATTTTAGAAAGAAACTTGTTTGCATCGAATCTCCAAGTCTACTTATAGACTAGAAGGACGTAGAAATAAACAGAGCGAGAATATACCTCATTTGTCTAATAGTACCTTATTATTAATTACTCTTTTTATTATTATTATTATTAGTTACCTTATTTCAAATTACAGGTTGAACATAGTTTCAAGTATATGTTGCTTACAAAATTACGGTATAATCTAATTTCTCCATTATTTACATTTCTGTGGCAGAAAATAATTTAAAACTTCACATTTGTATATGTGTAATGCGAGCACGATCGGGCTAATCTGTTAGTCTTTATTACAGTTCGAACCATGTTATTAATGGCACGAACTAAAGCAATTACGATAAAAATCGCATTAAAATAGAATAAATAGTAATTTCGCAATTACATTTCAAGGCGCTCCACAAATGTGGACATTTTACCATTCATATGCTTGAGTGCCATCACTATGGTAAATATATAACATAAAAAAACATTACCATGGACATTCTTACAAGAACCTATGGTTCTTAAATTGTAAGGCATAATTCTATACTCAAGTCTTGTAATCGTCGTAGATTATCGATATATGTGTATTATTGATATATGTGTAACTGCTGGTACCCGCTATCAAAAACTAAAGTTTCCCCTTTGCAGCGCAGTTGATATAAAGTGATAAAGAAAACTACTCGCTTAGCTGAAAAAAATTATATTTTATGAGAAATTATAATTTACAATATTTCATTCAGGCATCCATCTTCAGTCGGAACTTAAGCTAAAATTCTCACAATCTCACGCAAAAGGTAAAGCAACGTTAGACTATAATATAGTTTAGCAATATTTTGTGTAGTCATCGCCCAACCGTAAAAACAAACAGGTAAGAACCACGCCAGTACACGTATTCAGTCCATTCGTAAGGAAGATACGAATGAGCGGGCGAGCGGGCGCGCGGCGGCCACACCAACCACAAACTACTCACTGATACGACAAAATACAATGTGCTTTGTATATTTGCAATAATATTCCAAACCACGCACTGGGTTTAAATAAAATCCATCTTACGAATATAAAATCGATTCAATAAAACTTATCTAATTCACAAACCACCCGCTTCTTAGTATAAATACAGCCGAAAACGACAATTCACGACTACAAAGCACACGAGCCGCCCCGCGCCCGCTTCCATCCCCGCCGACGCCTGTGGCCACACTGACCCCTCTGGGCCCAAAACTAGTTCACAATATTGCTGTACAATTGCACAAAAGAAATATAGTTTCTATGTACAGGGCATACACAGAGATTGCACTTCAGTGGGTAACATCAATAGAAAGTTTTCCAATATTGTGCGCTAAGTTTCAACTTCACATTATTTTGAGCATTTCAGACAGCTGTATATTTAATTAAAGCATACAGTTTTGCTATTGACAGTATCGAATGTCACGGTGCGCTTAACCTGTCTCGATATGCTTAGATAATAAGAATGTATAAAGTAAAGACACAACAACGAATAAGTTAAATGTTATACAATATATATCATCAAAATAGAAACTTTGTTTCTTACTATATGTCATTAACTAAATTGTAACACGAAGCAACACACTAAACTAAGCATAATAGTACAATAAAATACTCTAAAATATGGAAAACAATTATAAACATATGTATAGTTAGTGCTTTACGTTTACAATAAAAAAAATGCCAATAGCAAAACTTGGCACTGAACTGTCGGCTCAATTCACTCAGCACATTTAGACCCAAATGTACAATATATTACATTCATGTGGTAAAAGCTTCCGTGCAAAAAACATTTGGTTTCGGTTTTTACAATTCACATTCGCTTTATTGTATCCCTTGGGTTTCTAGTAAAAAAAGTTTATATCAAATGCATCAAAAATGTCCTTAAACAACTAACGTAGTATTTCCCTATACTTGACATACGGCTAGCTGAATGGAATTCTCATACACGGATAATAATAGGAAAGAACCGAATACACCAGACCACTGCGTACACAAAGCCTACAGTTAACGTAAAACATTTTGCGTGAAGTCAATTCGTGTAGAAAAACACCATATTTAAATATAAACAGCTTAAATAATAACATATATTCAAGTAACAAAAATTCCAATGTACAAAAGTAATGTAATCTTTAAATACAATTAATAAATATATAAATCTCCCAAGCTAACAGAACAAACGGTAATGATATAATAATGTATAATAAATTTCATTCTATCAGTGGAGAGAGAGATGGTTATATAGAAGGTGCTATGATTAACATACTGATACAACATACGACATATCTGAGGTTACGCTTTAGTCGTGTATATGGAAGTAAGACTTGAGCTTCGAACGTGTCGTCTAAAGACGGAGAATTTCTGTGCTCAGTGATGTCAACGAAGTCAGTCCAGGCCGAGCTGAGCCAACCCTCTATGTTAACCCTCCCTCTCCTGAACCACGAAAACTCCGGATCGATCGCACTTCTACGAGACGTTTCATAACTTAAATAAATACGAAATAGTTTCACGGAAGCATCCCGATCGATACATCAGTAGGAAGTCCTGTCTCGACCCATGAGGGTGATATAAAACACGCGTAAGTTCATTGGACTAGTTTGTTCAAATCCATCCGTTTGGACATAATAAAATGTATACTAATGTAGAAAGATATTATGGCAACAAACTTTACAAAACCCTAAAACAATGACTAAAAGCAGCTCATGGTAAGGCCACGACTTACCATAACTTTTAAAATGCACAATTTAATATTCACCGATACAGACACATACATAAATTGTGAATAACTTCATCATAAAAAAACATGTCAAAAAACCTGACGCGTCGTGATGCGATCCGTTCGGATTGACGGATCGAGAACGAATGTTGCCCGACGATGGGGCGTGACCGACCGACGGACACGCCCCGACCTGATGCTAGTTTTGGGTTAAATGACTTACAATCTATCCTTATTTTCTCATTAAACATTTTAAGGTGAATAAGTTCGTCCATCCGATCTCAGTTCGTGAATTTACACATTCTGTCGTGAAGTGATGATGTTTAAATTATGTGTTATACACAATCACAGATTTGTGTCAGTGACCACGTTGGTTACGTTTAGACGAGGTTGTACTCCTTGAGGTTGGATTGTAGGATTGTGTCTTTGACCGCGGCGAACACGAACCGGATGTTTTCAGTGTCTGCAAACAAGAGGTTAAGAAATTAATAATGTAATTGACATATTTATAACGAACCACGCAGGCGGTCATTTTACTTATCTTCAAAGATTAGTAGTAATGTAAACGTAATTTTGTATACAGCTAAATATATAAATTAAGTAATAACATAGTCACTGGAAACCACTGCACTTACAATACGTCAAATTGTGTTGAGAAGCATGATACGACATGTAGATTTAATACCTTCTACATTCAAGAAACGAAAAATAATGATACGTTTTATTTTTAGATTTCGATGACTTATTGTATTCTTATGACAGTAACAATTAGAAAAATGGTTGAAAGCAGTAAAATGCAAGCATATATATAACTACCAAATTACTTGCATTAACTTCTACATAACATAGTAAGTATGTAGTAGTAACGTGAATACAATACGATAATGATGGAATTTCATGTAATTAATGTCATTAATATTTCCATACAAAAATATCTTGAGTCAACGCAAATTATACATTTTGTATAGACTTTTGAAACAGCTATTGTAGCTTGGGTCACTAGGAATTAATGGACCGCCTCAGTACCGACAAAAAACATAATTACATGCAGTGAAGAAATTGATATGTGACTGATTCAAGAGGAATGTTTATATAGTAAGTACATGCATATTATAGCACAGACAAGCCGAGAATTTTAAATATTAGTAATGCATTCGTACGAGGGCGGAGCAGGTCGCAAATTGATTTCATTTTTATTGTAGGTTTAAAATAAGAAAAATAAACATTGGAGTTCATCTTTTATTAAACAGCGCATCTAAATTTCTTATTTATAGTACTCTAATAATACTATTCTAAAAAGGGTATTTCTCATTATCTTTCTTTGTGTTAAGTACTACTTACGACTACCATTTTAGTATTTTTAATGCCAATTAACTAACTAATTTCTAAATGAAAAGAAATTATGTGCACGATAGTCCCTCGTAACAAGTAGATAAGGTGTTATGTTATGTCAGACACACACACAACCACATTATGTCATATTATGGCATAACATAAGATATTATCTTGCTATTATACTTACGTCGTAGAAACCAAAAATAAAACATTTTTAATAAATTTGACTATGCATTTATTCCAAATACATTAATACTCCTATAGCTGTGCAACAAATATATTGCGTCGAGCACAAGAACAGACTTGCATCAATATATTTCAAAATGGCGATATTAGTTCCTATGTTCTGGCTACCGTATCAGAAATTTGTGGCACTATATAAATGAGTAAAATATGTATGTTATGTAGAAACGCGAGAGAGCACATAAAATTCGCTATTAAGTCAAATCTCAGATTACTTCACAGTATCGTAGGTAGTTGGTGGGACATATCTGTTATTATTATTCTTGAAAAATCCTTGATAATATCTTATTAATATTCGCGCTATTATTATATACTATAATATAAACGCGAGAGTTTGTGAGGTGGATGGATGGATGTTTGTTACTTTTTCACATAAAAACTAGTGAACGGACTTTCATTAAATTTTACAGTGATATAGCCTATATATCAGAACATAGGCTATAATTTAAAAATATAATATGTAAATTGGTCCAAATATAAAGATAAATGTCAAGTAAGTGAGATGCAGACGAAGTTGCGCGGGTCAGGTAGTACATAGAGAAGTCTGAACTAAAATTGTGTGATTGTGAGTCGAAATAAAAGAACATACCATATTAATAAAAATAAACATTTAATATCTTAACAACATGCTAGTAAGATAACAATTCATGCTAGATTAAATTCTTTGAGAGCAGATTGCATTATAGTATCTTTGACGGCGCAGAACACAAGCTTAATATTTTCCGTATCTTTATACATATCCAAGGCAGCATGCAAAAACAAAAATAAATAAAAGTACATGCAAAAGCACACAACACAAAGATAAGGACAAAAACTACACAACAAAAAGACCCAAGGAAATTGAAACTGATGACCAGTTGCATGTTAATATTGGTAATACTATAAAATATAATATATACTATAGAAGCAACTTCCATAAAATCCAGGACGCTGTATGGCGCTTCCTAAATAATTTGCAGCATTGCAGTAACGAAATATATATGTCAGGTCCAGAGTCGCATGCGTTGAAAAATGTAAATAGAGAGTTTTCATTATTTTCACTTACTTATTGACATGTATGTATTTAGCAGAATACTTTGTTCCTTTTACTATTGCAGTAATGATTTTGATTTTTCCCTCTTTATTTTTTTTTAAGAATGTTTAATACGTTGGAATTTTTATTATGTAGGTATGTCGAAGAGATGACGATGTATTTTTTTGGCAGGGAATCGAACCCGTAGGTTAAAATTCACAGAGTACACACATAAGCTGTCAGTGACGAATTCGAAAGTAATTTTAATTATTAAAAAGCATGCCTTTTTGTTACATTTAGATCAAACAAAATACTGAGAAAGATGGGATGATTTTTAATAATTATATACCATTTTATTAAATTATATTATACGTACTAAATTTAATATAATGTAATCTATTAAGATTAGATTACATTATTAGTTTAGATATTAGATTGATAGTATGTAACTGACTGTTCAAAAGTGTTTCTTTACATTCGGAAGTTAGTCGTAAATATTTACGATATTTGACTACAACTTGCACTACTTCTCCTACACATACGGTACAAATGCAAAAACTACGATAAAGTGCATACAAAAGATTATATTTGTAAATTATACTACGTTTATTACGTAAACTACTTACTTGGACTTTACTATAGACGACTACTACGACTTTACTATATATAGATATGAAAACAGCCTAACAAGCACAACAACAAAGCTCGTTTTGTTACAACAATTTTACATTACAAATTAAACTAATATTGTCTAGCAAAAAAACATTTATTATTTTTTGCAAGACAATTTCATTATTTGTTTTATATATCTCAATTAGCAGAAAAAGCATAGCTAATAAGTGTAAATATAGAACATGGAAAAGTGAAAGATTAAAATGTAAAATTATACAGATAACAAAAATAATAAATATGTATACACTTACCATTTGCAGCCCATGATTTTTAATTTATAAAGTGCTTAATTCGTTGATAGAAAATTATTAAGTTTACTTGTATGACTGACAATAAAATACGGCATAATAAATAATAATACATGTATGTAATATACAATACAGCTTACAGTTATTATTCTAAAATGTACAAAGTGCAGTGGTAATAAACTTTATAGACCAACCAATTGTGACTATATTATGTATAACTATTTATATAATTATGCATTATTGTATAATAAAATTCATCAAGTGTATAAGTACGGTCTCGAATCTTCCTTACATTGAATGAAAGTTTTAATGTTCGCAAGGACGATTCAAAATTAATAAATTGGTGCATTGTAATGAATCTTGGAGTTAGTTCAGGAGGAATTTCTTTAATATATATCAATTTAGATATTTTCATACAGAACTTAGCTAAAATGCTTGTTTTATAACATTGAATGTATAAAAAAATTAAGACGACTTCGGTTCTTATATGCAGTATATAAGCATATTGAAAATATACCATAATTTTTTTAAGGTATTGTACCCAAAGTCAACAAACAAACATTGTCAAATACGACTTCCGACTTCTGTAATTATTATATCATTTCAGATGTCGAAAGAGAATGTAAAAAAGCTGAACGTAGTTCTTTTTTTAGTTAGTGCTAATGAAAGTAATCACAAAATTAAACCATGCCAAGCCAAGGCGGCTAGGATTCTATAGGATTCCCATATTCCCAACGAATGTGGGCATGTCAGTGTTTAGTTCACCACGACGTCATCAGTTAATAATGCCCGTCTACTCCATTGGGTATAACAGTCAGGAAGTTATGTTTCCCAGCAGGCCTAGCTTGTAGGCTACCTCTTTTAAGAGGCGGGACCCGTGACCACTGACGAGTGATACAATGAAATAGGTTACAATATATTATTAACTGCCATTTTCAAATTGATGTCATTAAAAAGTTCTGTTCTGACAACTTACCTGTCGCACAAGTAAAGTGTGAATAGATGATTTTCTCTGCGTCTGGATTAAGGTCAACGAACATCCGCAGTATGAACTCGCGCGCTGCAATCGCGTCGCGTTGCGGACCTGAGTCGTAACACACGTTCACACATCTAGCCATTCTACATGTATTTTCATTGACATTCAATGTTCTATGGAAACGATCTTTAAATTATTACAATTTTATAATATGCCTGTTAAATTTAAATTATTCTAATGCTGTTAAATAGGTGCTTGTACACTTAAAACCGTGGTTTATGAAGCACCTCAAGGCCAAATACTTCCCGACTACTTTAACCACTCAATTTTTCTATTTTGATTGAGGTTTTATTCATTTACGGCTATTTCAGTTATTTAAGATGGTTATTGATAATGCTACCGCATAGTTCAGTAAGATGTATTATTATTGAAAACAAAATGAATAGATAACAAATTATATAATTTCCATAGAACCTTCAATATCATCGAAGGAATAATTATAGCAAGATTCTACAAATCAAAACATTTTAGCAATATGCCCTAAACCTGATCACTAGCTTTTACTACTAGCTACAATAAATTACAATATTAAGATGATTATTCAACCTGTAGCAGTCGTAAAATGCGAGTAACATGATCTGTCTGGATCTGGATTTTCCTTCAGATACTTCTGGAGTATATACTCACGCGCTGGTATTGGATCGCATTTAGGACCTATTTTTTTAATAAACTTTTAAATATTTATGCAAATTAATGTACTTCTCATTGCGACGGAAAGTAAAATAATTAAAATGCAATAGAATCTTAAATTCGAATTACAGATTGATAATTCTTGTTCGGACGTCTTGAAAACAGCTGGTAAAGCTGTTACATGTCAGCGAGTATTTAGATGTATTTTATATTTATACGCGGAAAGAAATGGGGTTTTCTTACTGATAAGTGACTACAAAGTAATATACTCTCCGTTTCCTCTATAATTTTCATGTTATTACAAATAAGTATTATTATAAAATATTTAACTATAATATGGCTGCCTGATAATAAAAAAATATTTAGTAAACTTCTAAAATATTATACATATTTTATGTTATGCTCCGATTTTCTTCACTAAAAATTTTACAAAGTAATGTTTTTGTTCATAAAATCATACTTCCAGATAACGTTGTTATTGCTACATACCTTCGTATTCTGGAAAATAGTCGACAAGATGCGAATACATGATCTTCTCTTCAAGCAAGTCCTTTTTATTTAAGAAAAGGATCACCGACGAATGCTGGAACCAAGGGTACGTGATGATAGTCTTGAACAACGCCTTTGATTCCTCCATTCGATTCTGAAATTGAATATAATGCAACTTTAAACATATGTACCTACATAGTACAAAAGTATAATGTTATTATCTTATTAAATTACAGATGATTTAATTTTTACGATAATTTCATGTTTCTTTTTTAACAAAAAGATTCTATCTATAAAGATATACAACACAACAAATACACAAAATTCAGTCGAATTGAGATCCAATCGGTATTTAAACCTGTTTAAATAATCTCTGATCTCTGATTTCTGTGTAATACTTAATTTCTATATTACATCGGTTTCTTCTGTATTAATTATGCCTAGGTTCCAAGATATAGAAAATATATATGACTAGATAAGATGATAGATGAGCCCGCTACTTTGGTTTTCTGTGAAACAAGAATAGTAAACGACTTTTTGTTTCAAAACCGATCGGAACACAAAATAAATTTTAAATGAAGCTTACCACAGTATATTCATGAAAACCACACTCAAAACGGGTAAGCTTGTCCTGAGATTAGAACGCAAAACCCAATAAACAAACAGACGAAAATTCTAACAATCAATGTTTTAGGTTTTAGGATTAGGCTAACAAAATCCCCTATTAATCAATTTTTCTCATATATCTGTCATGAACAGACAAACATCAGTTACATTTTATTATATCTACACATAATAATAATATTACATAATTACCTCATTTTCAGACTCGAATAAAATTTGATCATATTCACTAAGAGCTACTAAGAATATGATAGATGTGACATTTTCAAAACAGTGAATCCACTTCCTTCGCTCTGATCTTTGGCCCCCGACATCCACCATCCTGTTAATAAATAATTATCCTTTTGTATACTGATTCGTCAATTTAGTATTTTAATTCTCTGTACAGTTGGATATTCTCACACCAAATATTTTACAGAGTAGTCGAGAACAGAATCCAGGATTAATTCTTACATACATCTCTTATCTCACCCACTTCTTCCATAATGTAGAGCTTAGAAGAATACAGAATTATGGAGAATCTTTCTTTAATTGTACAATTATAGAATTATACATGGCGAGTCAGTCGGAAACAATATATTATATTATTTATGCAATGAAATTACACCGATATTAGAAATAATAAAACATTGCTATTAACTGACCTTTTACGGGAAATATGCTGTTTTTTAAGATTCAATCAATCTGATACTTAAAGCGGAACGCAATGCTCACATTTGGAAGCCAACTGTAGCAAGTTTATGAGACTCCCCTTACTTACTTTTTTGCTTTATATTTGTGCAGTGTTGTGAGACAATATTGATAAAAAACATGCAATTTTTTTAATTATAATTCTCCAAATTACAAAAGATACACAAATTAATAAATATTAATTATATAATTTTATATAACAATAGATTAGTAATCATGATATATAGTAATTATGTTGGATAATGACGATTATTGATATTTAGAATTTCAAATTAACTCACCTTTAATATATATGTGGCATAATATACATTCATTATTAAGGTATAAAAAACAAAAACAATAAAGGACATATATTTCGCTGAAATACAAAAGCTTGAAGATATATAAAAAAAAGAGATATTACAAGGTGCAAAATAAACGATGTACACTAACATAAAATAACAACTGTAAGCATTAGAAAATATTTGATGCAATTTCATAGTAATGTTCATAGACGGATTTGAACGTATGTGTGAATTGTGATTGCAAAAAATCTATATTCAGTGCTGGAATCACACATAAGCATGTGTGATTCTGAGAAATGTCTTCAATGAGTTGAAGGTGAAACGGAGCCCTTGTCGTGTAGAGTAAAAACTTTATAATAGTGAATATCAGTACGGTCATTGTTGCTTCATTATGATGTGAATATCTTAAGGATGGACTTTGGGAGACAAGGCGAGAGCGAATTAGGCGACCGTATGCCTGAATAAAGCGGCATTATGGATATGGGGTATAATTTTGGCGAAGCGGTCATAATTTGGTTCACATGACGAAAATATTGTGTGAGGGTTCACTTTTAGACATGAACAACGATTGTACGACAGTGGACCTCCGTTGTTCATTTCTATTTGTTGCTACGTGGGTTATCAAGTGCAACTATTTTGGGTATTCTATTGCCAGGTATTACCTGAAAATATTGTGTCGTTTATTATCGGCAAACCCCCATATCCGCGGAAGACAGCAGATTGGAACCCCCGCGGATACGGGGGTCCTACTGTATAAAGACAGAATAACAGGTGAATTCCATGTCTTTCATGAAGACAAACAAATGCAACAAAACTTAATTGCAGTTCTGTTACATTGTGATACATTGATAATTGCAAATGAGAAAAGGGTGATTAAATTTATAAGAACCTAACTACTATGATAATACATATATTTAACAACTAAATAAATATTGTTAATCTTAGTCCTATTATTAAGCAGAAAAAGGAAATCGAAGCAAGTAGCACAAGCAATTAATTTGTTAGTTATGTTGTACAAATCAGATTTGGAAATAAGCTGATAACTTACCTGAAAAAATGGATAACTATTGGTTGGCTTAAATATAGATATAAAATTTATGATAGTGATCACAGAATGTGCTGTTAATAGAATCAGCAAGCACCAACCGTGGACTATCGTGTTATGTTATAGTGTAAAGGACATCACTTACAATTTTACCTTTTTAACCGAAACAACAATGAAAATATTACTAGAAATATGTAAATCTAAACATATACAGCAATTATTATATTCCTTTCATCTAGGTCAATACCTAGATAATTTTATAAAGAAATAGTTTAAACTCGAGTTAAAACTTTGCAATGCCGGTTACTACTATATCACAGACATTATAAACAGTCTAGTCTGATCGGTTTAGTCAAGAGGAAATCGCTTCGTAGAATTGTTTACATTTTAGTAACAGACGCTGGATAGTTGGTATGTAGTGAACTATATATTGTATAAATACTAAACACAGTAATCGATTTATCAAGCGTTACTTGAACACCAATACGTTATTAATTGGCAATAAATATCGAGTTGAGATATTAACATGACAAATTCAATTAATGTTTCATCCTAAAACGTTAAAACGATACCGATGCATTAAGGGATATCTAGCTAACCGCTTTGGAATTACCGATTACAAAAAGGGAAACAACTATTGTGTGGGGTCACGAGCAAAACCATTATGCGTCAAACAGTTAGTATCCTCAATAAATGCTACGCTACGGGGATATGACACGGTATAAGGAACGTTACCTAAAGATAATTCCGTCTAGATCAAAGGGATACTCAAGAATACCAGTGGTTGGCTGTCGGGCTCGTAGAATATCTTGTTCGGTAGGAAGATAGTCGTCCTTCTCAATCCTTTCCAGATCGCTTAAATAGCTGAAAACCATTCCATGCAACTCTAATAACTAAGCTAATATTATGCATGCAAACATAGAGAACTTACCAAAAGATTTGTTTCAAAATAACTGTGTCATCTTAGTGTACTTTGGTATAATAAATAAAATTTATTCCAATAGCACATTGAGATGTTTTGACTTTAATTACAAATATTACTAAATATTTAATAAACTAACAATGGCTAATTAAAATACTAATAGTATAAATCATAAGGTAAGTTCTTGAACATAGACACAAAGAGAAAACATAAAACATAGAGTCCCCATTGCTGCGATAAAACATGCGGCTCGAAGCACGACCCATGCGGCATTAAACCAACGTGTTTTACCTAAATCGTATCTCCTCCAAATCGAATGGGTATTCTATAATGCCCGTCGTGGGGACTCTCACGCGGAGGATGTCCTGTTCGGTTGGTAAGTAATTGGGCGCCGCCACGCGGTCAATCTCCTGCAAGTAGCTATAGAAAACAGTTTTCTCAGTTTCTGAACAATAAAAGCAAGTAGACACTGAAAGCCAATTAAAAGAAGACGGTTTATGAGTATTGCTCTGTTCACTGGGATGTATAGCATGTGTTTTATCACTGTAGCGTCAATTGTACTTTGATATGTCATTGTTTGAAATTTACTATTTTAGGATATCAGATTGTTGTTACACTTCAACAAATAGGCGTAAGCAGTAACATAAATACAATCTACTGCAGATGTTCTAATGTCGTTCTTAATTTAATGCATTGCTTTTTTAACTACAACAAGTACAAAGATACCGAAGTATTATTTTTCAAATCCAATTATCAGGTAGGTTCGAGAAATAAAATAAAATATTCTGTATTCTAATTTGACTTTTATATATGACATGGGTTCATCAAAAGTAAAAAAAGTTCTTTTAAGTAATAAATCTGAATGGAACAACCAGTAGAGTAGAGTCCAGTTTTGGTGTTTTGGCAGATGATAAAACTGCATTCATAGAGCCTGTATTCTATGTATATTCTATTTGAAATTTATCCCAATTGAAATTTCGTAAAGATTAATTTTTGTCTTACACTGTGTTTTCGAATACCGGAAATTTAATTTGTTTTAAGAACAATCACTATAATAATATTTATTATTATTTGTTATACCTCGATTTAAATAATTTTGATATCGAGGTATAACAGCCTACTCACTTAGTTTATTAATTCCCGTATCATTTTGCAGTACTATTATTTATAAAGAGTATTACCTACATGCGATTGATTACTCATAATTATAAGCACAGAAACAATACCGTGTGTAACATTGGTGAGGTAATCGTTACATTGCCCATTTAATTTATAAATAATGTTTTCTAAACTTGTCATGTAGGTAGGTTACCGTCATGGTAATAATATTTTACTATGAAATGTCCGTTACTAGAACCGTAGAGGAAGATACCAGTTATGTTTCCGATCGTGTCCCATTATACGATATTATTATTTTGTACATATTTCATTACACGAATTTTCAGTTTTATATTATAAATTTATATTTCCTTTAGCTATATAAATCTGTTAAATTTTCTATATTAATATGGACAAAGAAAACGTAATCTATGGTAATATATATCATCAAGAGTACATTTATTAGAAATTTACCTTTGCTTTCTTTTGTTTTAATTGGCCTTAATATATTTCTTCTAATTTTAATGTAAATCTAATTAGTATCCCTATAGAGGATTTAGAAAACTAGGACTAATAGATATATACTTACTATTTGGCAGAATCGGTGAGCTGGTACTCTCGCCTGCGATCGTAACATTCTTGGATGCCGGAGTCGGACCATAGCGCCTTGATTGCTTCCACGTACGGGCTCTCGAACGTTGTAACACTCTCAAAGTCAATCGATGATATCAACTCCGCCCTTTCCTGTAATTTGTATAAAACAATCATATTAATTAAATCAGACAGGGTTATCTGTACTCATTTTATAAGGAAAAATTTAGTATGTACGGGATAAACCCAAAAATAATTGACCGATTAAAAAAAATATTTCACAAACAGAAGCTTTATCGGTGTGTGGTATAAAGTACACGCGATTATCGCCGGATACAGCTAGTATAGTACAATAGTTCCAGATTTCTAGAATATAGCTTTTATGAATCACCCTTATTTTTTAGACGATTTCTATAAATTTAGTATATTAATTATGTGCTCAATATATGCCTGATATGACTTATTGCATTTTATCGTCATCAATTTTCATAAGTATAGCCTTCAGATGAATTATTATAATTGATTTTTGTTGTCCAATGAAAACCATTCTTACTTTTTTTAGATCTTAAATTAATAGGCAAAACAATTTCCACAATTGTTAGTACTGATAGCACTTGTTGCATGGTTTCATAAAAATCAATAGCTATAATAATTAAGTTGATGGTATATAATGGGTATGGATATCATTACAAGGAAAATATAACAATTATGGAATTCACACCAGCTGTATATTATCTGTAATACATTAAATCCATCAAACTTATGTTTATGTTATAATAATATTTTTACTAACAACGAAAATCAAACTATAAACATAGAAAGTTCATTAAATTTCCGTTCATAGTTATAAAAATATGACATTAAATTCAATTAGATCATTTCATCAACCAACTTGAGTTATTATGAAGTTGTGCAACTATTATACGATTATAATGTAAAAATTTAGCATTGTTTAAATAAAGAATTGCAGACATACTCGGATCTAATATCAATAACGATTTCAAAAGAATCGAGTTTTGTACTGCTCTTTTGAAACGTTAAAACCGAATAAAACGAAAATAATATTAGTCAGTTCTTTAATTGCATATGAAATATGGTATTAAGGCTAATGCGTAATGAGCATAAAAAGGTGCGAGACTGAGTAATCCAATGTCATCTGATCTAATTTTCAAAAGGTTTCCAGAGTAGACTGGAAGGAGGTCTCCCGGTCTACTCTGGATACTTTTTGAAAATTCGAAATGCAATTATTTCTACACTAACTTTTGAACAAGCTCGAATTGGAAAATCTAAAAGAGGAGTAAAGAAATTCTTGAATATTTTTCGAGTTCGGATAAATTTGACTTTACACCAGAGCGTGTCGTACAGTTATTAAAGTGGTTATCTCGTCCCACCTGTTTCTAACGTAAGGCACCGTAGCTTGCAAGTTGTGATCCGGTCTGAAGTGTAGTGAAATTTTAGGTATAGAGGCATAATACCGTAGTTTATAACAAATAGAGTGATGATCGGGTGAGTGGATTATTCATTGCCGTTTCAGACGTATAAAAAATTTACTACGGAACCAAAATCAGTTGATTTTTTATACGTCTGAACGGACATACATTTGGAAACTTCGGCTTCAGTTATAGTTTCGAATGAAACATAATCTTGACTTTAGTTCTTTGAAATTTTTAAGGATTCATTAATTTTATTTAGTAAAAATACACACTTTACATGTGTAAGTAGTTTCTATGTAAATACAATTAAAAAAAATGCACATTTGTAAATATTTAGTATTATGCTCGTAAACCTTCCTCTTGAATTACTCTCTATTGCTAAAAACTGCATTAAAATCGATTGCTTAGTTTAAAAGATCTAAGCGACTTCGGAAACGACTTCAATTTATACTATGTAAAGATATCCAAAACCGAAAATTTGGTTTTGCAAGAAATTTAGAGACATGAAGACTTACTGCATTGGACGGATTCCCGTATTGTATTGTGAGTAGATCCATAGCACGTATCATACTTTGCATCGCCATGAAGATGTTCTGATAGACGAGCTTGATGAATCCGCGCTTGTCATCATCGCTGTAGCCGGAGCCGTGGATGATTCTCATCTGCTTGATAAATGTTGATTTTCCTGACTCGCCAGTACCTTTGGAACAAAAATATAAATTTGTAATATTTTCATTCTTGTGCTATCACAACCCTTATTGTTCTAATTATCGCGCCACGACCAGACGCATGTCAATATGATGGAATATTAAAATATAAATATACATCTAAAATTATACACATTTTCTATATATAACAACAATATGCGCAAATAAGTAATGGAGAGGAGTATTTATAGCAGGAATCATATATAATGGTCAATAATTTTAGATATTGTTTTATAGGTGTCTATATTTTCCTCGATTTTATCCTTTTTGTATCTACTGATTAATTAGACTTATTTGATAAATGTACCAACATATATTACAAAACTAGCTTCTTTATAATTATTATAAATATGAATAAAATAAATTAAAAATATATTAAATTGTTTTTTAGATTCGCTAAAAAATCTATTGAATTTATTAAAATTAGTCATTTTATTACACACAACATTAAATTATATGACATAATTTTCATACGGATGATTTAATGCGATGTTATTAGGTAACAGGATAATAAAATAGGACCATAGTAACTGCTGGTTTGGGAAAAGGAAATAAATAATTGTTTTCAGGTGGAGAATATTGCCATTTGTAATACATATAGTACAGTAGTCATATGTAGGCATGGGCCTTAAAGAACACAACTCTATCAAAATAGCTTATATTTTGTATGCGTCTTATGTTAAATGTTTATTATCGGCCATCCAGGGAATAGAATTTTAAAAACTGATAAGCTCACGGAAGTGGGATGGGACGGTAAGAAACAGATGCAAATAACACAGATTAGACGAACCATTTTCCGCATACGACAACCACAGGATTTTATAAAAAAAATTAAGCACATACGAATCGGTTTTAAATACACATACGATACGCACGTATCAGAAAGAAAGAGATACTTGATATGCTGCGTTGTTCTTACTCATGGTAATTTAGAGGTGTATTAGATATCGATAGGATTAACTGTCTATTTTATGAATTAGGAATAATTGTGTTCAAGTGAGACTTGCGTTAAAATTAATATAAGTTTTTAAATGAGTGGTTTCATTGGTCTTTCTGACGAAATTGGATTTTTTTTATTTACCATACAATATTGGGATTTTGAGTAACATTGACGGAAAATTGAAAGCGTCTTGATGCCTACATTTTGGTTTCTTATTCTATTGTGATGGTCAATTCGTACGATATAATGACATAACGAGAAATATTAATACCGCCCTTAGAAATTAGCGATTAAATTAAAAATGGCACTAACAATATAGACTCGAGACGTATAAAACGCAAGCATCGGAAACAATGGAGATCGCATCAAAAATCCACCTCCTTTCACATCAGGTTTTGCTACTGTTACATATACATATATCAAGGTACATCTCAATCTGATTTAATTGGAACTTTTGTTAGAAAGAAGAGAGGCGATGTGAATACATCTATTAAAACAGATTGGAGTAAAATCTAGATCTGCACATATACATACATATATATATCGAGGGAAGAAAGCGGAACTGTTGAAATTGAATAACCTAACTTTAGACCTTAAAATTTGTTTCACAAATTCATAACTCGTACCTTTATCGGGATAGGATTTTTTTAAATAAAAGAATTTTTGTAAACTTGGGTAGTTTACGTTACCATAAATCCTTCTGTTGATATATATGTACATATATACAGACTCTTTCCACAGGGGTAAACGGCTCTTCTGTGGGGTTAATAAGGCTAATAATTACAATACGGAGACAGCATCAGTCATAGTGACAATTTCGTAACTCTTATCAAATACATGGCCATGTATTAAGGTATACGTGCACATTACGTGACAAAACATATTCCCATATATATACTTGATAAGAGTGTCGAAATTATCATGTTTTCAAATGTTACCTGTACGGATAGTTCTAAAGATATACGCCTGCTTGTAGTAGTGTACCTTCGTTTTAATAAATATGTATACTTATTTACTATTTATTTTGTATAATGACTACAAATAAGATATATTTAAATCAAAATTATAGATGTACTAACATTCTATAATTTTAATTTTTTTACATTGTTATTAATCATCATAATCATCCATTGGTGCCCCGCCAGTGCATACCATTAGCGACAAATGGGTGAACTATTTCATTATCATTCATAATAACATTTCATTTGTGTTCTATTTCTCTTGTTATTGGAAGAGTAACACTTTTGTTGATATTCGACACATCTTTACATAAATTCCTTAATCAATGAAGTGATTAGTGTCAACGCAGTTCAAACATAATTAGCAATACGTAGTATATAGATATTATGTAGAAATAACGAAACCAGGGACTCCGGACAACTTCTCGGACTTTCCTGGTACCTACATATTTATAAAACCGAACTAATATACCAATCGGTTACGTTATCTTTCTGAAAATGTTTTATGATAATGACAGTACTATCTTATTTTCGGCGATATGTCGTTTCACGAGACTGATTTTAGTTAGATGACGACTTAAGAATGCATGTGATCGTTGCCACAATAACAAAATATTATAAAATTATATAAAGGGTTGTTTTAACATTATTTAATTTTTTTACTTAACAAGTTTCTTTTCTTTTACAAGGGCCTATTTATTCTAGGGTATATCCGAATGCTTGAGTGCATAAAATGTTCCCACACATTATCAGTTACGAAGACCTTTAGGAGCATTATTAAGCCAAAAAGTAAAGTACTATTAGGTTTTTGGGATCGATTCGCTCGAATGTGATAGAATTGTATATTCTTTTTTCAAAAGATATTTCTCGCGTGAAGCAGTATGATTCTCTTACCGATTTATAAATTACAAAATAAGTAGTAATTCTCGTTTACCATTATAACCAATTTAAACAGTGTCAATAATTTTTCAATTTGATTTCTATACTACCTTTTTACTTATTAGAATTATTTTTTTAATTTATGTATAATCGATATCATGCCGATTATTATCAAACCTATAGATATCTATCAATTAATGATTAGCTGTGTTGACCTTGACACTGAAATGCCATTACATTAGTGAAAGAATAAATTGTAGATAAATCTAAAACTAAACATTTTATTACTGCTAATTTTACTGATAGTTTAGTGTGAATCTTATAGAGTACTTTCTGTGATAACAATTCAACATTTTTGAACTTAGAAATTTCACAATCCCCCCATAGTTATTCCATAGTCATTCGATTGGATTTTTTATCTAATTTATTCATCACTTTGAAAGTGGTGGCTTAATTAGAATTTTTAATTTTAACATTTTTGACAATTCATTTAACCTAAAGAGTAACTTACCGTATAGGATTCAACACAGGTCTATTGGATCCTATTATAATTTTGCTACGATTCAAGGGTTTTTTTTTTCAGTGAAACAATGTTTTAGAAAAATATTAGGAAGAATTTAGTAAGTACGTAACATATTCAGTGTAGTATTTGAGCATTTTAAATAATGTGAAAATGGCTAAATCATGGAGAGTGTCCCACCCATAATTTACGGAATTAAATATGCTCCTCTATTAGGATAGATGAAATAAGGAGAATTAGATAAATCAATGAGTTATGAAGAGGAGTATGGTCAGTTTCATTATGAATGGAAATCGAAAGTGGGTTATTAGATGAATTTGTGTGTGACCACTTTTACCTGTAAACAGTTTTGGTACCTTTCAAACAGCGAAAGAATGTTTAAAATAGGTCAAGTACTTTTTGTGTTTATCTATTACAAACATATAAACAATCAAATCTTTCCTCTTTACAATATTAGTATAGACGCATAGTATTCTGGGAGGCAATGAAGACATCAGGTAGGTCAGTGCCTTGTGCCAGTAGCCTATTTTCAATAATAATAGATAGTGAATGCCTAAAATGATGGTGGTAACTGTACATAATATTATTTAATTTTATATGTATCATCAATATTTAATTATTATTAAAAAGGTTTTTTGGCATGAAGAGTATCCTCAACAGGTATTACAGTATCTTCACTGTTCACAATGCTGGTCATGTCTGTATATAGGCGACAGTTACCACCTTCCCTCACATGACACTACAGCTGTACAAAGAGAAACTTTAATCAGTTGAGAAAACTCAAGTAGGTGGCACCTAACTTCTTCCATATTAGATCATACTATATATGAACTAAGAAACATGATTGACTGGTGACTGCTGACAGAACTATTTATTGTTATTAACAAATGTAAAAACTAATATATAGTAATATCTAGTATGGTAAGAGGTATGACACTGGTTCTGAGCAATGAGTGGTGGCGATTACAAATAATTTTTGACATAGCTGTGTTTCTGTATATATTAGTAGGTAATGGTTGGCACTAAGCAATAGGTGCGTTAGCTTCTAAGATATTCCAGTTACGTAAAAAAATATATACAAAATAACACACAAAATAACATACAAAATAACTTGGCCATATTTTAATTAATTGATAGTATGTCTACTGTTAAATCGTAATAATAACATAAAAACAATATTATATTAAGTTTAGAATATTAAATCATATTTTCAATGGATAAGTAATGTTAGCATTACTGAACTATAAATAATTCATACTTTCATATTAGTTACTCATGCTGGTAAGTTACTATAATTATTAATTTGTTGGCATGGTAAGGAACACAGATAATATATATATATATATATATATATATATATATATATATATATATATATATATATACACATGTCGTTATAAATTTTCACATGCTATCTAGGATGGTTCATTATTTTTCTTAAACAGTTCGGTTTTGAAAAGTAACACTTATAATAAGTATAGGACACATTATTTCTTAGTAAAGGAATGATTATAAACAGTATATCTATGTTATTTTTAATTTATAAAACTTTGATAGCTACTCCCGATTAGGGCATTTATAATTATTAGAATTGAATGCAAATTTATAATCACTTCAAAATAATTAAAAATAATTCTCACTACTCTAGAATTAATTAATTAAATCAGGGATAATACTACTTATTAGTACATACTGGGATAATAGTAAAATCTTTATTCACATTGCCAAAAATATGTTTTAATTAACTTATGTTTTAAACTGTATAACCTTGAATAATATAATCTATTTAAAAGTGTGATCTGAAATTTGGTAAAACACTGAAGATTCGAAGTCAGTTAATTTAACACAATTTTTAAATTATTTATACTACTTGCTTAATTAGTTGAGTATTTTTCTTATCTATAATATATAAAATTATATATATGTAAATGTAAAAGTTTGTGTGTATGAATGGATGGATGGATGGATGTTTGTTACTCTTTCATGCAAACACTACTAAAATGATTTTGATAAAACTTCACAGTACTACAGCATGTACATCAGAATAACACATAGGTTATACATTACAAGCAGGTGAAACCATGGGCACAGCTGGTCAATAATAAATTGAATTAAATTTAAGATATAGCAATGCCTAGTTTTATGTTGTTATCTTATCAACAGCAAAACTTTTTTAATAAATTGTTACAGGCAAGTATGTCATCTCCAAAGTGATTGCAGATAAATCATCAAATAAAATATCTACCTTTCTTATCTTTCAACATTTTCTAAGTTTAAACCTAACCTCACTAACTTTAGGTATATTATAATGAGGTTATAAACGTAAGAAGAGTTTGGAGCTCAAATTTTTGGAGGTAAAATTTAATAATGAGGATGGAGGTGATGCTAACTTACCGAGCAGGAGCAGTTTGAGTTCTCTCCTGGCATCTCGTTTGTCCTTTCGGAGTTGCCGCTCTATCTCTCGATTGATTATTTTTTGTTCTTTGGCTTCTTCTGACATGCAGCACTCCATGATTCCTCAGAGCGGAGGGCCGCAAACCGTCCTCGAGCGCGGAGCCCTGTCCTTTCGGCAGGCCTTTCAACCGAGGCACACCACTCCTAGAAATTACATTATTATTACACTCACATTTCACGATAGTTCACGATTTATTTCACTATATCACGTACCAACGCGTCGACGCGCGAACAATCATCCGAACTAGAAACTGTTAAATACTAAAACCGACAATCCGGCGGTCACTGGGTGTGGTGACTTATGATCGGTCATATACATAAACGCTTCTGTCAACTGCCGACATAAACACTTCGGAATCCGTTTATATACGACCGTGGAACCTTGCGAAGTGATCTTATAATCTTGTTAATGTAACTAGATTCAAGAAACCTATGGCTATGCACCACACGTGTTTATTAATAAGATTAAAACTGAGCAAACAGCGGATTGATGATACCTAGGTAATCTACTGATAACTAGAACGGCCTATGTCTAGGTTACGATGGGACTTGTCAGCGCTCATTTCACGGTTATACACGCACTGTAGTTACATTTTTGAACTTTTTACGTACCCAAATGTATATCCATAGGGCACGATCAACGGTTCCACTTCAATTTATTGCACTAACCACGATTAATCACTCAAGTCATACAACGTCCGCCTCTCAATATGGCGCTGGGAGATTTCGGGCGATGGACGTTCTGCGCGTGCGTTATAAGTTTTAGCAAATAAAAAAAATGTTAACAGAAATTGTATGAAGTTATAAGAAAACCGATATACTTCTACAATATAATTAATAAGTACTAAATTAACTAATCAATGAAATTATCATGTAATTTATTTTATTTTCATTTCATATTCATCAATTAAAATGACAGTTTTGATCTGTATCGAACGTCAGTTAATTGTCATTTTACTAGAAGTTCATTCACTCCACACATGATGTACAATGTACGAACATAACTTATCTGTGACTAAGAAAGTGTAAACGTAGTGATTACATGCTCATTTGCTCAGTGTTGCTATGGCTAAATTTGACAATTCAACCATCAATAATTGTGATGTAGGTAGGTATTGTATTCTATCTAGGATAGTAAGGTTTGTATTGATTTAAGTTTAAGAAAACAATTTTTATAAATTACTTTATTTTAAAATTACTATGAGGAGGAAATAATTACGTGAAATATGTGAATAATGAAAAACTTTATTTTTATTAAATTTGGAGAAAAAATGTCGAGAATGAGACTTCTTTTTTAATATTGTGTCCCTGTAGCACAGTTGCAAGTTTGAAAATAATATTGCTACTGGAAAAAACAAAACAGGTACAATGAGATAAATATTTTGTTATAAGTACACTAGTCCGATTTATGATAGTTCAAAAATAGTTTAAAAACACTAAAAATGATTTAAAATATTATATGATTTACCGATTTTACCGTCCGCTATCCAGCCTATTGCATGTTGATAGGAGAGTCAAGAGAAGAAAGGTCGACGACGAACTAGTTGGAATACAAAAGAGCACTTCTGATACAGCTTAGGTACTTACGAAATACTCAAAAGTATTTTACTTACAATTAATTTGTGGGATCTCTTTTATTTGTAATATTACTTGCTATTAGTATTTTCCTTAATCAGTATACTACTACTATATTTGTATAAATAGGTAAAAAATATTTTCTGCTAATTTAAAACAGTGCTTTAGAACACTGCATTGCATCTTTATTATTCGTTTATGGTTTGGATTTTCCTAGAATCTAGAATATCAATTACTGAAACAGTAATACTGCTTCGAATTTGGAATATAGTTGGTTTATTAGACTCAACTCCAAGTGCTACGTCTTTTTCAAACTACCGTACGTTAACTACAAAGACTATAGTAATTGAAGATGGTAAGTTTTCTTTGGTTGTGGTTCTCTTGAATAGATCATACGCAGTAGGTACCTGGCAATTTGGAGTAAACTACGTGAAATATTCGTACACGTAAACTACTCTAAAAACGAATTTTGTTACTTTGTGGTCAAACTTCGGTTACTTTACATGTTTCATTTTTGTAAGCAATAGCTTACAAAAATGAAACCTCATGTAAAATTAGAAGTAGAAACCTAAGTTTAAAATGATCTTTTGTTTTATTGTTATAACAATATTGACCATAAGGAAATATTAGTTTAGGTAATTCTACGAACAATTATTGTTCTGACGTTTATTTCCAAGAGCAATCATTATTCTGATATTTAACTGAACTAAAATAATAATGAGATAATAGATGTTTGTACGTATATTATAAGTTTGAACATTATAATCACAACTCAATAATAAAATCAGTACATATTTGTATTTGGTAAAGTAGTCACAGACCTATTTATTAAAATTGAATTTTAATAATAGGTAATAAAGTATAATACTGATACTATTGCAAACTATACAAGCAACGTGAATAATTTTTAGTGTTGTGGTAGGGACCATACGTAATGTTTAAATTTATAACTAATGATGACGGTACCACAGTGGTTTGGCGCATCGAGATACTTCCAATGGCTGCTGGTTCCATTTTAGTACAGTATGTATATACCTTTGTACTCAATGAATATGATTGTTTGTATTAGGTTAGATGTTTTCTATAATAATAATAATCTCAGGACAATCCTTACAACGCCATCTAGACCCAAATTAATAATAATTAATATTAATATCTCCGGACAATTCACACAGCGCCATTTAGTCCCAAGCTAAACAGAGCTGATATAAATACATGGATAAATTTTTTTGTAAATAAATACATATTATACATAGAAAACACCCAGACCGATACAAACAATCATACACATGAATACAAAAGTTTGTGCCGTCTGAGGAATCGAACCCGCGACCATCGAACGTAAAGCGGTGTGCTAGGCCGCTAGACCACCGAGGTCGTCAAATAATGATAAGAGTATATTTACATTATGTGCGTAATTATAAAAAAATATATACCAATAGGATTAGGTTTACATTGTTTTAAGATGTTCATCGGGAAGATGAATAATGATTTCTCTCCGTTTCGACATCTTAAAACAAATAATACAGTAAAAACAGTATAGTACCTACTTATTAAAAATACGAATTGAACGACTTCTTATCCCTATAGCTTCTTTGTAAGTCGATTTGAATAAAAGAACTACATATTTCTAAATTTTAAGTAAAGTTTACAACAATACATTACTGGAAACTTCATCGAATTTGGTTAAGGCGTTTCTGAAGTTTGTAATAGCGTCGAAATATCGGGAACTCTTAAATAATATTATCGCCTGATTGAAAAAATCCCTGACCTGTGGAAACTAAATCCATACATAATACACATAATAACATGATAAGGTAGAGAAGTAGCATCATGTTGCTAGCTAGGGGTAGGAAACCATTCAAGTTGAGCCGTTGGCAACTACAATGTCGCGTGCTTGTCCTAGACATGGGATTAGCCTTGAAAAGATAGGTACTGTAATCATCGTAATGTTGCCAGATTTACAACTACTAACCATTATATTAGATTATTTCTTTTGAAGATATTTACCTAAATATATTAAAAAACACTAGTATGCACGTTTTTCTAATAGTTCGTAATCAATCATTAATAGTAGTTTATAGATAGTAAAACAGATAAATACAGAATAAAAGAAAGAATAAAATGCAAGAATATACAGCACACTTGAATATGCAATATACTATTGGCCACGGTGCTCTAGCAGTTTGGCACATTACTTCAGGTGGTCGTGGGTTCGATTTCTCATACGCTCCAGACATTTGTCTTCCTGATTTGATTGTTCGTATTAGTCTGGATGTTTTCTATGCACATAATATTTATACACATACAAATTTAAGTGACTAACAGTTGTCTAGTCTGTTTAGCTTGGGAACAGATGGTCTTGTGTGGTGGAATGTGCAGAGTTACTATTATTGTTAATATTATTTAATATAGTTTTTGTTCACAAGTAATAAGACTTTTTTTAACCAGTGGTCGAAATTCAACTATAATTAGCATAAATAAGTTTGAAAGTTGTTAAACTAGTCTAAATCTAAATTCAAACTAGTCTGAAATGTTTTCGTTATTCATTTAAAATATTCCTAATACATAATTTAAAAAAAAATACAACTTTCTGTACTCCACATACATTTTTACTGTGCCAAATTTCATATACATTAATTCGTGTAATTTTCGCATAAAAACGTAGTTTACTTTGTAACTATGGAATTTGAAACAAATTTACCCTAAATATAGATTTATCATTTACATAGGTTTCACATGAATAATAAAATTTTTCATATTTATAAAAAATCACATTGTTACCAGAATATTTCGAAATAAGTATAATAAAAAAAAAGAAAAGTATAAAAATAAAATAAAAGCGTATGCCAATGTACTTAACATTGGCATACGCTTCATTATCACACATATCAGTTAACTCATATAGTTTGTATTTAATCCTTATTTTTCTAATTTAACTATTATATATTTACCTGTTCACCTATTTGAAAAAATATCTAGTACGTAAGATGAGATGGAATATGGTACATGGTTATGAAAATGTAGCAGTACCCACATAATAACTATAATTATATAAAATTTATTTAACTTCTTATAATAGTATTCAAGAAAAATGCTAGGTACTGATTAATACAGCACATATATAACTCGTTGTCTTGTAGGTACTCTATTCACTCTACGTTATTAGCGTGTATTTAGAACTTACAGAGTAATGTTGAAACAATGAATTATGCTCTTCTTACATTAATTTTCTACATCGATTTTAAGACTTGACCATCTAGTTGAATTATATAAAATGAATTTGAAACGTAAACAAAAATATTTTGTGTGTAAATTTATATTTCTGTATAACTCTCTGGTGAAGAAAACACCGATATCAAACCAAAAATTAGTCCGACGGCGCGCGGCGGGCGGTAGGCTTGTCCCTCTGCCACCTTACTTTCAAATATACCCAATCAAAAGTAACATGTACTGTACAGTTTTGGGTGCACTATGATCTCGATAGTTGACAACAGGGTTGCGATAGTCTCCGACTATCCCAACCGGGAGATAAGTCGTGATGGATTGTTTTTTTATGTATTTATGTAATTATTTCTACAATATTACATACGTATTTAAATTACACTTCTAAGTGAATCATCATCATCTTCATCTCAGCCCGAAAGACGTCCACTGCTGGACAAAGGCCACTTAAGTGAATATTACTTATTATTAAAAAAAATTCGCAGTCAGTGTCAGTGTACTATCCACGGAACTTGCGTAGAGAAAAGCGTAGGGTAAGTATAGGTTAGGGCTGGAGCTTGCTGGAGTTGGAATTGATGAACAACAAAACCAGAGTTTTTTTTGTATGACGTTTAACGGGAGTATCGTGTAATGTAGAGGATATTCCAGATATACAATGTGGGATTTTTCTTTCGATACGTGGCGTTTTCCAAGAATGTTTGATATCATCTTTAGATAAAGATGATATCAAACATTCTTGGAAATTTCTTATAATTTAGTGCTATATTGAGATCAATATAGCACTAAATTATAAGACAACGATATCACTCACGTTATTGTCTTGATATATAAAGTAATAAATACTATGTGAAAAACAATAATGTTTTTCACATAGTAAAAAACGGCAAAATATAAATTTTGCCGTTTTTTCGTTAGGGGACATAAATTAAACCCTGCACATATGTCAAATCATGACCAGAATATAATACAGACTTACAAAATAAATTAATTATACGTTTTAATTATTTAATTCTATTCTAAGCAGTCTTTATGTAACCTCCAAGTTCCTTATTCGGAGGAACCCAACCACCAAATGCTCTCTCAAATTCTTTAGCGACGGCAATAGTCAAGTGATCATTACATTTATTTGCTACGATTTGTATTCCAACTGGTAATCCTTTACTCGTTAATTCTATAGGGCAAGCAGTCACTGGCAAGCCTAAAGCGCTGAATATTGTCAAATATCCACAATTTAAGAATTTGTAATAAATTCTGTAGTGCTTGTGAGCTGGATATGGAAATGTAGGGAATAGTAGTACAGCGTCGTCCGATAGAGCTTTCTGTAACAAGATTAATAATACGGTTAGATTTGTAATGTTACATAAACAGTACTTTGTACAAAAACCCATTATATAAGTAAGTTGTAAAAATTATACTAGTGGTTGAGATTATCGAGTAATTATTCCAATGGTATGTTGTAATTTGTCACAATATAATATTTATAGGTACTGTATACATAAAATCATAATTATACTGATTATTTAGACCTGGACAATCGTCCTACACATAATATCACAAATATAAATAAAGGTCAAAGGTACTTACCTCAAAATCATTTTTAATTTGATCAAAAATAGATAGCAAATTTTTGTAATAACTCTTTGGTAGAGCATCGAAAAATTTTTGCAAAGGCCCATACGCTACACATAAAAAGTTGTGATTAGATAGTCCAAACATTTTCTTTAGAACTTCTGGCCAGATCGATATCCATTTTTCACGATTCTCAGGATCTGTGTAAATATTGCGTACATGTCTAATGTTCAAGAGAACTCTGATACCTATTTCCCACATATGTTCGATGTTCTTAATTTTGAGCTGTAATAAAAAATTGAACAGTATAATTTATTAAAATAGTCTTTTATCAAATTACTAGTAGTCCGTTTTCATGTAGAAATATATTTATATTTTCTCCTTAAACTTTCAAAGGTTCTATTTTTGCTTTATATCTTGTTGTTTACAAGAGATAGATAGGCTATTATACTATTACAAAATATATTTTATATCACCTCTTGTACTTCAATGTTGTGTGTATTCTTCATATAATCTTTAGCTTTGTTCATTGCATTTTTAACATCAGATCCAATTGAATTCGACACATTGCTGCCATCGCCATTCATGTAGTAAAATTTTAGTTTTGTTACGTCTACCTATAACAATATTTTTATATTACGTATTATATAATAGTTAACATACGATGTATATCCGGATTCCGCTATTATAATTAGGATAAATAGTAATAAGTAATTATTACATGCATAAATCGTATTATTATTGTAGTTACTAGCAATATATATGTTTACGTAAAGCTTACGGGCTTATCAAATGGAACGTCAGGGGCTCCTGGTTGTTTCAAGACTTTAAGTAATAATGATAAATCTTCAGCATATCGGGCTATGGGACCAAGTGTGAAATACTCTTCAAAATCTGGATCTAAGCAGTCGGGTACATGACCTGAAAGTGAAATAGAAATAAGAGAAACGAGCTCTAATAAATTTTTAAAACTTATTTAATGATAAGCCGATTATATTATTAATAGGTACAAATGGACATGTTACATTAGGTACAATTTAATAATTTGTTATCATAATAACTTAAACGCAGGAGGCTTGCTTGCTTTGTAAGCCTTTCGATTGAATAGCGAGATATTAAGTTATCCAGAATGGCAACGCACGAGGCAATATATCACGGGCGTCACCTGATGGTCATCATGATGTCGCATCACGATGTTGTTCTTCATGTACGTGGTGTTGTTTTTGTAAATATGTTATCACTTACCATCAGATGGCTAGTAATTTTTTTGCTATTCCACTAACGTAAAAGTATTTAAAAAGTTCTATTAAAAATAAATTATATAAAAACAGATCTAAAAATTACCTTCCACGGATAGAAGCCTAGGCGTAGGTTTGTGACCAAATATACCATTAAACATAGGGGGAAGTCTTAGTGATCCAGCAATATCGGAACCAACACCCATCACCGAAGCTCCCGATGAAATCAACGCCGCCTGCCACAATTGATTTATGCTTTAGTAATAAATACAATTCCGAATTTATTTAGTTACAATTAGTATTGTTTATTTGGTACTAAGATAAATGTAACAATGAAGAACCTCTTACTGTAACAGGACCATGTATTTGAGTTTAAAAAACATGAAATTATAGAAAACTAGATTATTGAACCATTTGTGGTAGTATAATGTCTAGATAGAGTACTGATAAATAAAATATGGGTGTAGACTCAATAATGGTCGGAATTTGATCAGCACTGGAGAAGGTCGTAGCGCTGGTCAGGTTTCTACACCGAATATTCGTAGTCTCACACATGTTAATTGTAGCGGAATTAAACAAAATAGTATAAATCCATCGAGTAGTAAAATTTAATTATTTCATTAAATTGTTTTACCACAGCGTAACTTTCTATGATATTGTATCGTGAGATACCCCTGTCTATTAGTTAGTCATCGATTAGTTGCGCTATTAAGCGATTATTAATTAATAAAAAAAAAATTAAGCCGCATGCTTGTTACGCTGTATCAGAGACATAAAACTTTAGTCTAAAGAAATGGCAATGCATGAGGGATATACTAGTATCATTTTCTTATCTTTCTTTTTATTATTTTCCATCGGCTGGGCAATTCATTACAACTCTTGACGGTTACTTACTTCACCACCAGATGATCCGCCCGTTGTGCGTTGCTGATCATACGGATTAGTAGTTAGTCCTAATACATTATTGTATGTTTCCCAGTTCATGCACAGCTGTGGAGTGTTTGTTACAGCGATGGGAACAGCGCCGGCTGCTCGCGCTAGTTTTATAATAGCAGCGTCTGCTTTAGCTGGGTTCCTATATGGGTATACTGTGCCGCAGTCGTTACTCATGCCTGTAATTTAAAATAGGTAATGTCTCAGAAATTATAGTAATCTATTCATAATAGTTACGGCAGTTTGATGGCATCGGTCGTCTAGCGATTTAGAACACCGCTTTACTTTCGATGGTCGCGGGTACGATTCGCACGTTGCAAATATTTGTATTTATGAGTATGATTGTTTGTAACGGTCTGGGTTGTTAAGGTATAATCTATGGTGATACAGAAAGATTTACTAATCTGTAACTCATTGTCTATGCGTTCACTCTGGTTTCTGTAATGTAGGTGTAAGTACCTAGTTGTTAGTAAAATGATTAAATAAAATAATTAGAACAAGTTAAACATCTTTATTATATATTAATTCACTGCGCTCTGCAATAATAACCACAGAAAACATCAGGTCATGGTCCCAGAAGTCGCAAGAAAAAGAAAATCAACAATTTGAATAAGGTGACGCAATACGCCATTTTGTTACTCAAAAGAAAAATTAAATTGAATAAAAATCAAGATGTTCGCAAAAGACAAATTGTATAATATGAAGCAATTCGATGGTGAAAATTATAACGCATGGATATTTAGATTACGAGCATTACTTCGCGAACAAGGTCTTATAGATGCCATAGAAAATACGCAGTTCAGTTCAAACAAAGAAAACGAAAATTTGGAAGCAAGAGCACAATCAATCATTATTCAATCCGTGGCAGACAGTCATCTGGAATATTTAAAAGATAAGTCAGCATATAATATGATAATAAATTTCAATAACAATTTCAAACGAAAAGGAACGAGAAGCAAAATATATTTAAGAAGAAAATTAACAGAAATTAAATACAATGAAAACAATTCATTAAAGGAACATTTCATATCATTTGAACAAATATTCTCACAATTGGAGGACACCGGTACAAATATAACCGAAGACGAAAAAATTAATTATATTATACTGTCAATGCCCAAATCATATGAATCGGTAATCACAGCTATAGAAACAATAGAAGATTTAAAAATAGATTTTGTAAAAAACCGTTTATTAGGAGAAGAAGAAAAGAAAAAGAAACAAAACTTTAAACAAAACTGTGAAATGGTGAATGCATTTAATTGTTACAACTGTGGAAAGAAAGGACATAAGAAATATCAATGTTATTATAAAGGAAATCAATATGAAAAGACACAAGATGTTTGGAATAATAGAAATGGCAGTGAATATAGAGGTTATGAAAATAATAGAGGACAAGTATATAGAGGATACGGAAATAATAGAGGACAAGTATATAGAGGATACGGAAATAATAGAGGACAAGTATATAGAGAACATACAGAACCAGGACGAGCAAATATAGGAAGAGGACCAATACAGAGAGGAAGAAGTCAAATACAGAGAGGAAGAGGACATAGATCCTACATAGCAGAAAGTGATAGTGATTATAGTGCATTTATGTGTAGAAAAATAAATCAGTGTAAAAATAATGAGCAAGAAATAGAGTGGTATATTGACTCAGGCTGTTCAGAACATTTAACTAATAATAGAGACATATATAGTGAGTATAGAGAGTTAAGTACCCCAATTAAGATATCAGCAGCTAAAAATGGTGTTATAATGGAAGCAATAGGTATAGGAAATATTCATATGAAAAGTTATTTTTACAACACCGAACGTCATCATACAATAAGTAATGTATTATATGTACCAGAATTGAGGAGGAATTTATTGTCGGTAAGTAAAATTGAACAATCAGGATACAATGTATCATTCTGTAATAATAAAGTAAAAATTTGTAATACTAAACATAATTTGATTATGCTTGGACATAATGAAGGATCTTTATATATTATTAAGTTATATCCTAATGTTATAAACAAAATTGAATGTAACCAAACAAATTCGGTAAACAGTTCTATTAATTTGTGGCATAGACGTTATGGTCATTTAAATTTAAATAGTTTAAGAGATTTAATTAAAAAGGACATGGTATTAGGGATGAGCAATTTGAAAAATATTTCAGTTGAACAACCATTATGTGAATATTGTATTTTAGGAAAAATGACACGACAACCATTTAACAAATTTGGCTGTAGAGCTACAAAACCTTTAGAATTAGTGCATAGCGATATATGTGGTCCTATTAAACCAACTACATGGGATGGAAACAATTATTTTGTAACTTTCATAGATGATTATACTCATTATGTTCATATATATTTAATACAGGATAAATCACAAGTGTTTGATAAATTTAAACATTATTATAATTTAGCTACTACACATTTTAATTGTAACTTATTGAAATTGAGAACAGATAATGGAAGAGAGTATTTATCTAACAATTTTATTGATTTTTGTAACCAAAAAGGTATTATCTTACAAAACACAGTTCCATATAATCCTGAAATGAATGGAGTCGCAGAAAGAATGAATAGAACACTCATTGACAAAGCAAGGACTATTCTTTTAGAATCAGAAATGGAAAAGAAATTTTGGGGAGAAGCAGTATTGTATTCAGCTTATGTGACAAATAGAAGTCCTACAAATAATAAACAGCAAACTCCGTATGAATTATGGGAAGGTAAAAAGCCTAATGTAGCAAATTTAAAAACATTTGGTAGTATAGCATACAACCACATACCAAAGGAATTAAGATATAAATTAGATCCAAAAGGCAAGAAATTAACTATGGTTGGTTATAATATAAATGGATACAGATTATGGGATGATGAACAACAAAAAATTATCACAGGTCGCAATGTCATATTTGATGAAACACTTACAAAACAGGAGGGGATAGTACATATAAATAAAGAAGATTACTACTATGATTTTACAGAAAAACAACATTCTAGTGATACAGAAAATAAATTATATATGGATCATTTTACGTCCAATGAAGAAGAAGAACAAGAAAGTATTGAAAATATAGTAGAAGAAAGATTAACATCAACTACAAGAGAGAATAAAGTACATGAAGATAATATACAAGAAAAAGCAAAAAGAAATAGACAAAAACCTAAGTGGCATAAAGATTACAATTTTAATGAAGAAAATGAAGAAGCATATCAAGCATATTGTTTTATGACAGATGAAGACACACCTACAAGTTATGAAGAAGCTATAAAAGATAAAAACTGGAAAGAAGCTATAAGTAAAGAAGTAGAAGCACTAACAAAGTTAGAAACATGGGAAGAAATTAAAGAAAAGAAAAATGTACAAGCAATAGAAACGAAATGGATATTTAAAGTTAAATCAGATGGTACTAAAAAGGCACGTTTAGTAGCAAAAGGTTTTCAATTAAAGAAAGAAAATGAATATGATGTAGTATATTCACCTGTAGCAAGATTATCAACCGTTAGAATGTTTATATCAAAAGCATTACAAGAAGATAAAGACATACATCAACTAGACAGATTTGGAATGACATATTGTAAAGGTGCTAAAACCCCAATGGAAATAGACTTTAATATAGATCTGGAAGTTAATAAGAAACCCATTAATGTACCCTATCGTGAACTAATTGGCAGCTTAATGTACTTGAGTGTAACATCAAGACCAGACTTAGCATTTTCAGTCTCATATTTAAGTAGATTCTTAGACAAACCAACAGAACAATTATGGTCAAGAGGAAAAAGGATATTGAGATACTTATCAGAAACAAAGAATAAGGGATTAATTTTTTATAAAAACAAATGATACTAACTTATATGGATATTCTGACTCAGATTGGGGAGGAGATAGAAAAGATAGAAAGAGTATAAGTGGTTCAATTATATTTCATGGACAAAACCCTATTAATTGGCACTCAAAGAAACAAAGTTGTGTTGCATTATCATCAGTGGAATCTGAATATATTGCAGCATCATTAACAACACAAGAACTTGTAAACTTAAAAGGAATTAGGGAGCATTTAGGTCAAACAGGACAAACTAAATTATTAATGGATAACTGGGGAGCTATTTTTATTTCTAAAACATATCAAAATTCTAAGAGAACTAAACACATAGATATAAGAGTTCATTATATAAAAGATTTAATAAGTAAAGATATAATTAAAGTAGAGTATGTACAAACAAAAGAGAATGTAGCTGATTTGTTTACTAAAAGTTTAGGAAAAATAAAATTCAATTATTTTGCAGAATTTATTTTGTATTAAGTTTAAGATGTCAATAAATATATTTGGAAAAATGAGTGATTATAGTATGTTTAGTATAGAATAAAAGTGTATGAACAAAGTAAAAACTTTTGTATTGTATAATTAAGTAAAAGTAAGTTAGAAAGTAAAATAAGAATAAAGTTATTTTGAGTAAAATTATAAGTTAAAGAAGAAAACTATTTTATGTTAAGAATTTAAAATTAAGCAGACAGAGAGAATATTACTTTTATATAAATAATAAGGAAAAAGAAATGTTTATTAAAACTACATAGAGAAAATTATGAATGTTAATTAGTTTGTTTAGTAATTTGTATTGTTGTAAAAGATTAATGTAAGGAAGCGATGTAAGCTTTTATTTTCTGAAGTTTAATAAAACCTTAAATCGAGGAGGGGTGTTAAGGTATAATCTATGGTGATACAGAAAGATTTACTAATCTGTAACTCATTGTCTATGCGTTCTCTCTGGTTTCTGTAATGTAGGTGTAAGTACCTAGTTGTTAGTAAAATGATTAAATAAAATAATTAGAACAAGTTAAACATCTTTATTATATATTAATTCACTGCGCTCTGCAATAATAACCACAGAAAACATCATGGGTATTTTTATGTATTTACAAAAAATAAAAATTATAAGTAAGTTGTCTAATACCTACCCATAGCACAAGCTCTGCTTTTCGTGGGGCTAAATGGCGTTGTGCTAATTGTCCAGGATTATTTATTTAGTTAAATAATAATTGACATTGTTTATACTGGTAATTTTAACTATTTATTTGAATGGTAACTATACTTTCTAAGACACAGAAGTGACCTCCTAATAGTTCAAATATTGCACGCTCGTCAAACTACAAAATTAACGGACAGAACACAAATATCGCACAACAGTGAAATATATAATGCCTTGTATCCTAATGCATGCAATACTAATCATCAAGTAATTCAATTCATGGCGAAGTAACTGATTTTTATGTATGAATGGATCAATATATCGCTTGGGTTAATAATATGTGGTGATATAGCACCAGTGAAGAATTACTGCATGAGTATGAAGTCAGGTAACTATTCCCATAGTGGTGTATTGACCAGGATCTTATCACGATGTCATTTAGAATGCTCCTGGCCGCTGATGTGAAGCTTGCATTAGGATATTGATAGCAATGGAATGGATCGACCACCTGTCTCCATTACTAGCAATCCTCTTCCACCTGGGGCCACATAATGTTACATATCAAATCACTGCTAATAATTAATATGCAATCAGTTGGATACAGCTAATGAACTCCGGTTAATTACAAAATGCGTGTGCCTACTTAAGCAAATTACGTAGTCATACATGATTACCGTTTCTATTCTTACGTGATAATAGATCGTAAGCTATTTGGTATCTAATGAGTTTGTTCGCATAAATCTAAATTAGTATTACTTTTAAATTTGGAAGTTTTGGGATAATCTCTGGTACATCTGATCCGATTTTGAAATAATTCTTAAAGCTTTTTATTGACTACTATCACGCTTCGGCCAATAGAAGGGAGGCTGCAATACCTTCCGTATTGTAACGTGGATGATATGACGCAGACGAAGTTGCACAGGTCAGCATGTTAGGTGTTATGATAATGATATATATACATAGTTCAATACACCATCGAATTTATAATATTTAATAAACTTTAATATTAAAAATTTTTACTTATCATGCCACATGTATATTTCGTGCTGATTTCACCTAGCTGAGCTAATACGTAGGTATATTATGTTTACCAGTAATTAATATGTAAAAACTTTATGACGATGTCTATTGTCTTTCAAACGGCAAAGTCTAATTTATATATCTATTGTTATAAGTTTTATTTATGTAGTAAATTACTACAACTATCTATTTACGATTTTCTAGTTTGATAAATAAGAAGATGCAATAATAATAATAATAAAGTGTTAATAAATAAGAACGACACAAACCTGAATAGATCACAGGTGGTAATCTTTGTAAAAAATCGACTGCGTGGTACCTCCGTCTACCTATTTCAGTAGTTTGCTTGCAAGTAGTGTTCCGGGTGGAGGGTGAGATATAGCAGTAAAACTATAGGGTAAGAGGCATGACATTTTAGTCCTCCGGAAATGACACCCGTGATACCACCATGCGTTGCCATGAGTGGTATCATGGGTATCACATACTTGTCATGTAACGTGATGTAGGTAGTGCTGTTCATATATATAGGTGAATGTTACCAGTTACTATCGGGTGGATAATCAGCTTTTTTTACCATTTCAATTACATAAAAACACGTGAGCGAACGATATAAAAAATTTAGATTATATACAATAATATATGTATTTTAAATAAAGACAGCTATTTACTTTTTTGTGATATTTATTATGATCATCACGTTTATTCTTGAAAAGCTACCAAATAGATAGATAGAAATAATTTCCAATGTTTAATATAAGAATTTGATTTGCTGTAACTTATTATAATCTAAATACCTTCCACAGCTATGCTTTCCTTCACTGTCATTGGTAGTCCTAGAAGGGGATATTCTTTAGCTAGCTCATCGGCGGACTTTTCTGTCGAAGCTATCATCTTGTCTATACTTCGTGCTTCTCGTATTGCTGCTTCATATCGGGGCTCGACTATAGCATTCACATACGGATTCACTTCTTTACATCTTTCTATGTAAGCCGCTACTATTTCTTCTGATGTGATCTGTAATTTATCATTTTGGATTTGGTGAATTGATCACAATATAACACAAATTTTTTGCTCTATTATATACACTACAAAGGGAGGATCAAATAGCAGCGCAGCGTCCTTAAATTAGATGAGTATTTGTGTAAGGAAAGAGAATTCTAATCGCTTTGCGATAACACTAACAAGGATTAGGGTCTTCCATAATGCATCCATCTTTTTAGTGGTTCACTATAGAGACAGTATCATCTTTCGTATTGAAAAAAGTACAATTTATGTCACAGTATGCAATAATAGCAACTTGATGGATCTATTTCATAATACTGTCAAAGTTCAATATTTAAACGTTCTGTAAATATGTGCCTATAGTTAAGTAATTCCATTTGTGCGAGAATATTTATTTAAACTTAACTAGTCAGTAGGCTAGTTAAGTTAGTCGTAGTAAAGATAAACGATTCAATTAGGGCCATCTATAAATTACATAATATATATTTCAAGACTTTTCAAAACCTCTCGTCCTTGTCACGCTTGGTCACACTGTGAGACTTCCCCTCTAATATGCATGACAAGACGTATTTTGAAAATTAGTAAACTAGTGCTTATCGACTAGCTGTGCCTATAATTTCGCAACCAAATAATTAAAAAAGACCTTTATGTTCTACCTTTCTACCTCTATTATGTACTGAAGGATAAATCCTTTAGTATATAATACACAATCGGATTATACATAAATTCTAATAATAGATATGGACATTTTTAAGATATTAATAAACAATGCTCAATAATTTCTAACAACAAAGAACTAATAGTTACAATTAAAATGTGCTTTAACCAATCGTAATGTATGTAAAGTATCTAAATTTCACCAATTAGATACTTTAGCATTTGCGAGTCAATAACTTACCGACATTATAGATAGAAAAGGCTGTTGTACTGTAATGTAATTAATTTATTATATGTAGTTAGTATTTAAAATTCTTATTGTATACTTATTGTTGAATTTTTGAATATTTTGTCTATAATACTACAAGAAAATAAAATTGAAAAGTTTAATACTATATTAGTCTTTAATATTCTATATAAACTCTATTATATTAAGCAATTTACCTCTTTCTTCCTGATCATCATGGCTAAGGTAGTAGCGGACTTGAACAGCAGAGGGTTAACTGGCGGAGGACATTTTCTAGTTCGTCTGATATTTACGAAAAATGTTAAAGGGTAGACAATTATTGCCAAAAGAGACACCAGGAACCGCAGAAGTCTTCTAACGAATATGTTCATCATGGCTGTCTGAAAAAAAAGAAATATTAGGTATTTATATCTTAGAAATAGAAACAAAATATGCGTGTATAATAACAATACAATCAATACATGGGCAAATTCATATTCTCAGTCAGGGCTGGACAGGTCTGATTTTTCAATAGTTAGTGATGATGACACAGGACGCAGTTTTTCAATACTCAACGTGTACAGTATATTTTAACAGATACAAATTTTTAGACAGGGGGCCTCCCTAACCTGTACCTTCCCCCTCTCTCCTCCATGTACGCCCATATATACGTCATTAAGACATAATTAGAATCGATTTTATACATCACTGGACACGGCCCTGACTACCCCACCTGAGTTTAAATAGTAACAGTAAGTTTTACTTGCCTTATTAGAAATGTTTCATAAACTGTACAGTAGGTATTTTATTTTCTCTTAAATACTGTTGGCTATATTTTATTTATTTAATAATTTATAATATTATACTTATATAATGTAGGTATGGTAAATACCTACATTATATAAGTAAAAATAAAATGGTGCTAATGACTATTCTTATATTAGTCCGATATGTTTAAAAATAAATTCTATAAATAAACCAAAAAATATTTACTGTGCCTGTGCGATATGAGTCTAGTTCTAGTCTCATTTCAATTCTTAGTTGTTGGTGTTCAAATATTCAATCAAACTTTCTTCAATCCTATAGTTTGTAGTAAAGATACTGATTATTCCTATCTATTTAACTAAAAAAAGTTATGTACGAGTATATAACGTAGACGCATACGTAGGTAATTGGATTACTTAATATTATAAATTTACGTATAACTGTTTGTTTGTTACCTGCCCACGACTAAACAGATGAACGTATCTTAATTATATTTGGAATAAAGACAGATTGTATCACGATGTACATAAACTATGCTTTGACTAAAAAAAGTAGCACACAGCTAAGTAGATATAAGCGACAATGGCAGTATTATCCTCTATTACATTAGACTCAAATACGAATGGCGGCGTTCTTCATGATGATGGAGTAATAATAACATGATTTGTCGGCACTTCTTTCATTGGGAATGAATGTCACTTACGACATTCTTGGAATGAAAACGCTATTTTTATGTATTAGTTATTTTGGTTAAGTCATTAGATACTGTTCCCCAAGTCACTTCTTAACCGGATTAGGGTAATAATGTGCAAATACATCATTGCAAAAGAACCTTTCAATATCCAGATAACTTATTTTAAACCAAAATGAGCGACAGGGCATGTTATCAAAAAACTGTACGATATCATTACGAGGATACCCACTGTTACATTGTTGCATTTTATAAATAAAACATGCTATATTGTTTTATTATTATCTCATGGATTTTTCATGCGGTTTTTATATATTATTAAATAATTTAATAATTACCTCATACGCTAATATACTTAGTATGTATCCGAGGACATCAGTAACAAAATTCTGCATCATTCTTATAAGATTAGCTAAATAAGGTGGGTAGACTAAATTGAAATTGTTCAAAAACACTTCAACTATAACAAACGTTTGATATATAATAGCACTTATAATTATTAGTATAGCACGTGTACATATATTAACACTTGCGTTAAAATAAGATCTAAATAACCTAAGAATCATTTTTTGAATCATTACAAAAAATAATAATATCTGATCATAACGAGTATGCGTTCGTATCTTTCCGAGCAGGGAAACAAACTGAGAGATTCCTTTCCAATGACTGAATATTAATCAGTTAGGAGGGTCAAATAGATAAAACTTGCACTTGTAAAATAGTTCAATTATATATTTATATAAATTAAAAATGGTTTACTTGTACAATAGACAGGGAACGTTTTGTTGATCATATTCTATTTAAACAAAGCAATTTCTAATCATATTAATGTCTAGCAATTAATTGGTATAAAAAAAATGTATATCATATACCTACTTATTTAAATTGTAATATTAAAGTATTGTTTGGTTCATAACGAGATACACGCTATTGTATTATACGTAAAAAAAGAAATTTCCTTGTTTTATAGCGTATAGGCAAATTGTGTGTGGTTTCTATTCAAGTTGAAGATAACTTTAGTAGAATAAGGTATATATACATCAAGTGCATAATATGGGTTAATGACGACCTTTTGATGTTTTGTTGGAGCATTTAATGTTGCATAAACAAGGTATCAGGTTCGTCTAGGTCGACGACAATTAAGAATATTTTAAATCACTTCGTCTTGGTCTTCATGGTTGTCTCAGTTCGTCATCTACTGAAACTAAACCAGGTGCTACGCTATTAAAGATGTACCCACAATAGATGACTTAAACTCGTGTATAGATGTATATAACGCTTCTTCAGGGCACCGCTGTGTAAGTAAAAATCTACGGATTCCACCCTGAATCTTGATGAATTTTGTTTTTATATTATTGTAGTAGAATAATTATCATGTAGAATAATAATGGTTAGATAAATTTACTCTTTGCTAACCAACCATGCCTTTTTTGTACGTGATGATAAAGAAATCGTCATTTGACAATTGAACTGATAAATAGGTGAATTAATAGCGATAAGAGTCGGACAAAGATGGGGTCAGTTACAAGTTATTATCAGAAGAAAAGTTATCAAGAGATTTAAACCGGCTTCAATTAAAGAGGAGTTTCTTACTGTGTACTCATTATTATGAGACGGACCATCTATTGTCTGATGAATTAATAAAAAATTGTAAAACCACTAGTATTGAGGTACAATCGTTGTTGTTTTAATATTAATTTTGTTGTGCAGGTATGTCACTGTTTCACTCGTCACGGCCATTGTACGCTGTGGATGGAAATAAGTGGATATGTTACGAAGTTTGCGGGCTGTGTGGCAATCGAAACTTGGAAGCCTTTGGTTGGTCAAGATGACTTGCGCCACCGTCGTCGTTTCTCGACTTACTTGATGCTGGATTCTTAGTTTAATGACAAAGTACACATATATATAATATACATATGTATATTATATATATGTGTCCTTATTAGGTACATTATTATTAAAGCAGACGTTTTTAATAATTTTAGCACAGACAAGACAATGTATTAGGTAATTGCAGAATACTAGTATTCCTATATTGTTATCTCTAATAACTACTTGCACGGGTTAAGTCGTGTATGTAAACAGATTTTAAGTATGATTTTTTTAATTGTATTCTATTTCTTAGTATGTTCAATGTGTGATCCAAATTTCAATCAATTGCCAGTTATAATAAATACATTATTACGATATGAAACTGATTGCTTTATTATGTAGGCTGTACTCAAAAGATATGCGATTTAAATCCTTGAAAGTATTTTGCCATGTTTCCTGCCGTAATAATTGTACTTGTATATTACTTAAATTGCTACGATTTCAACAGTTACTTAGTACTGATAAATACCAGCAAGCACGCTTCACTGAGTGACTTCCACTATTACACCATTGGCTGGCCACTACGAATTAAAAACTGAGGAGGTTCTATATTTTGTTATTAAAACCACATGTCAAAGAGTAAAGAATGTTGTAGTTTTGTATATAACCAATAATTATTTCAAATCCCTTCTAGGTATAGGGCGTATTTATATATTATGAAAGTTTTACTGTAGCGACACTTAACTGGATCACGTTAAGTGTTACTACAGTAAAATTTTCATACAAAAAGTATCATTAATAAATGTATATATTCTGTTTCGTAAATTGACATCTAATATAGCAGTTAGCCATTCGGCCACAGTACAACGGATTAAAATATATACAGGCATATAATATATATAAAATATATATAGTAGGCATTCATAGAGAGATTTATTTATGTTACCAGTAACTAACTAACCCTGTATATTAATTAATAGCCATTTTCTGCATTCTTTGAGAGGTCACTACTAGTGAGGGTTTATTTACGTATCAGTAGAGTGTTGAAACTGCAGAAACTTGTCTAATATGTACTAATGCTTAGGTGGGTAATCAACTACAACATACCCACGGATATTAAAATACTATTAAATTCAAATAGCCTTGCTATATTGGGGGATTTAATTTGTAAGTGTAGCATATCTACAATAATATTCTTATTACAATTATCCGTATGAGTAATATAATTACCGCCACTTAAATTAGGATATTGTTTTTGCGAACTTTTCCAACGCTGTTGGTCTGGCCTGTACAGGTTTATAAGATGAAAATGGGGACGAGTGCTGAAGGCACTCCAAAATAGAGGAAGATATTTGTAGAACGGTTTACAGCCAAATTCTGCCTGATAGTGCGTTGGAATTTCGTTTCCTGTGGATTTAGTAAGCAATGCTTCAGAAAGTCAAAAAGTTAAATAATGCAATAAAAAAACTTATAACTAAGTGTCAGTAGACGGTGTCTATGATTTTGCATGAATGGAGCTAATTGAGGTTTTTGTTATCTAACGACGTTCTTTCTTTAGGTTTATTACTCGTAGCTTAGACGAATATTTAGGTATCTGCAGCCGGATATAGAACCAAAAAGAGCAAATATTAAAATTATATAAGAAACGTATTAAGTAATTATAGAATCGCTTGTTCTTGCTTAAATATATACCTAGTTAATATTATATAAAGTAGAATTTCTATACTTCCATTGATAGCGTTATTAAATTGAAGGGCAGTGGCGGTGGGGTAAATCAGGTCGGCGAGCACACTATATTACACACACTAAATTGGCTCTGATTTCGCTACACACGAGGAAATCTAAGAAGCCAATCCATGATGCCCACCACTGCACCACTGTGAGTGGTTTAACTCTACATAATGTTAAGTAATAGTATTCATTTATTACTAGTAATTACTATATACCAACTACCAGTTCCAATTTAGTTAAACAAAAATAAAGATATCGATACTTTTAAAAATTACTCTTTAATTTATTTTAGATATTAATTATCTTTTAAGTATATAGATACTAATTTAGTTTGTTAATACGGTTTTGTCAACGTAATATGTATGTACAATTTTATTTTTATTATTGTTTGTATATTTTTTTAGTAAGTATCTAATAATTCTATTTTGAGTTTTTTAATCTGTAGTCTACCTGTAGGCACAATTATTTAATTTTATTGTTCATTGTCAGTGAAAGGTGTTGCGTGAGCAGGTGCAAAATAATGAGTCAAAAATACAAAAATATGAAATTCTAATTAAATTATGTATATATTTATAAGTACTAAGTTAATGCATTATATAAAATGCAATCAAAGTTTTCGCTTTTTGTTTTAGATGAATGAAAATGCAACCTGGACAAAGTTAAAAATGAAGATAACAGTAGAATATTGTCTGCCTAAGCGTGTATACGCTAATATTCTGTAGTTTGTTTACAAGAGCCACGTTTGAATTTATTATTTAGAAATTATTAAAACAAATAATTATTTGAGCATCTTTAATAAACTTATTACTTTAAGAATACTTGTAAGAATCAATATAATCAAAATAAAATTAACGATATTACAATAATTATGTAAATTTAATTTTGATTTAACAATCAAAAGGATTTTTTTTCAGTACAGTGGAAGTTTAATATTAAAGGATATTCAATTAGGAGTGAATGGAAACATAAATGAAATAAATATATGTATATTGTTGCAATAAGCAAAGTAACTGGATAACAATGGGCGGTTATGGTAATCAAATCATTACAAATTCAGTGCTTGAAATTTACTTACATTCACGATTCCTCTTATGGAGGTATTTTGAACAACAACATTATATTTTGCTCAGGTTCATACAGTATTGACCTCGTTCACAACCGACTGGTTAAAACAATCTTTAATTTAGAGGCCGAGGCATTGCAAAATAATTTTATATACATACATATACAATATGAATCAAATTAATATAGTAGACATAAATACAATTTCCATCTCATAAAGATCAAACAGATACAAGCAATACGAACATTTGTATTCATTATGTGTATTTCTGTTTATATTGACCGCGGTATGAGCCTATGTATAGGTAATAGACATGTAGGTACATTTATAGGTATTTATTTTAAACTATGGGTAAAGGAAGACGTTCTCCCGTAGTTCATGATATTAAATTGTAACTGGATAATTTCTCCAATAGTCTGACATTACAAACAGTGGAGAACCAGCGTTTAGGAAACGAATCGCCATTAGGTTCAACCTCTTGATGAAACATTTTCCTTAGTGCCGTTCCATGTTAAAAATTTATTGTGTATTTTAACACAGCTAAATAAATATCCTTATCTCTAATTGCAACTTTCTGTTTTTTGGCTTTTCCGGATAAGGGTATATTAATAAAGTAATGCTTAAAATTAAGTTTATTTCAAAAAAGAAATTTCAAATCTGTTCTATTCTATTTCTATTTACCAAATGAGTCAATGGTAAAATACTGTATTTATAGTAAAATTCTCAATGGTAAAAAACTGTATTTATAGCAATGTTGTATTTATAGTAAAATTCTCTGTCGTATTTATTTATTATTATTTTAATTGTTGCCAACTTTTTATAAAACTTCTTTTTTATACATTTTGAATATTTTATTTTACAGTTCTAGAATTATCATTATATATATATTGTTGTCACATTTTAGTGCTGTTACTAAACCTACGTTATAACTATTAATTTATCCTTTTGTATCCCTTATTTTATCCATCTTACACATATAGTTCATTCATTCATCGCGCACATTCGTCATTTAAAATCATT